CTGCATTAATATTTCTCTCTGCTTTTCCAGATTCCTTATCAATTGGAAACCGATATCTTACATTTTGTTCCCAGTGTTTTAGTTTTGCTTCGTCCTCGTTTCAGATTTCAATTTCTGGACACATTAATGTGTCTCAGGATCCGTCTGTTCATCCTGAAAGGCTGCAGATAAGCTAATTTTCATAAAATCCTGTAGCAACTGATGAATAAATTCACCTGAAATGTGAGAAGCAGTTGTGATTTTTAATTGTTTATTTGAACAATTAAGGGATTTTTGATAGAATAATAATAAATGTTGGATTTTCTTAATATTTTCCATCTGGGTTGAAATCCTGACATGATCATATTCCAGTTTAGGAACAATGTCGCCATCTAGTGGTGGAAGGTCAGAATGTTGAACATGATGCAGTTTGTTTCAGTACATTTATTCTCCCAGGTCACAGTATCTGTGCTTTTCCCTCACAATCTGCACTTACATGTATTTAATTGATCTGCTGTAATATTTTAAATCTGATCTAAACTATTTCTTCTGCCTCTCGAAGAAGAAAACGATCATAATTAACAGAATTAAAGGCTTGAAACCAATCAGCCTGTGTGTAATTTATTCTGGGCAACTGGAACAAATCTGCCTTGTTAAAAGTTTTCTATATTGAATTGGTATGTTTATGGCATGAATAAATAAAATCTAAATTGTTAGAAACTTTAAGTCTTTTATTAGCATCACAGATGATAAAAATATCTAAAGATTTGGGTTTGTTTCTGTTGTTTAAAACTTTTCCAGACAAGTCAGAAAAAATGAGACGAGGAGTTTCAGTCTGACAGATTTAGGAGGAAAAATAAACTGATTCAAAATAAGATTCAATAAATCACTAAATAATTCAACAATATATTTCACTAAACAGGTCAGGAGAATTCATCAATTTGTTTGCAGCCACATGTAGTTGAAAAAGTGACAAGAAAACATAAATACTATATACAAATAAAAACAATAAAGCCCAGAATAAGTAATAAAATATGATCATTTTAATTCTTTTTCTTTATTATTTGTTTTTAACTGTCAGGTTCAAACAATTTCAGTAACCAAAATGGATTTAGTTTTTTACTGTAATGACAAGATAGAAACATTTAGAAACATGTCACAAAATTCACTGTTAGTTATTCAAACAGTGTGATTTATGTTGATGCTCTTATTTTGAAATGTAACCAGCTGCTCTAAATGCTTATTAAGTTTCTGTTACCATGTTACAACAACAAGCTGGTGATATTTTAAAAAGAATATGTTTTATTTTCATGGCTCTTTGTTTCCAGACGTCCCTACTTGAACAGAACCGAGTCTACCGGACCATCAGGTATGAAAGCAGCTTTAGATTTAAAAGTTTTTCTGAGAAGGTTAAGATAACGACAGTTGTATTATACACATGTTGAATAAAAGAATTTACCATGTAAATCGCAGAATGCTTCGTCTCATGCCTGTGTGTTCTCCCCTGTGTGAGTTTTCACATGAATACTCAAATTCCCTTTCTGGGTAAAACTTTTTCTGCAGATCGGACATGAAAAAGGTTTCTCCCCTGTGTGGGTTCTCATGTGACACGCCAAGTGATTTCTGTTCCTGAAGGATTTACCACAAACGTCACACGGATACGGCTTCTCCCCGGTGTGTGTTTTCATGTGCTGAGCTATGCTGCTGCAGTCTGTGAAAGATTTACCGCACAGCTTGCAGTCGTACGGCTTCTCCCCGGTGTGAGTCCTCAAGTGATTGGTCAAATGGCTTTTGTTGACGAATGACTTGCTGCACACTTTGCACGGATATGGCTTCTCGCCTGTGTGGCTTCTGATGTGGTCGGTCAGGTTACCCTGTTTGGTGAAACTCTTTCCACAAGTCAGGCAGGAGAACGGCTTCTCACATGTATGAGTCCTCATGTGGTTGGTCAGATGACTCTTATTGATGAAGGACTTACCACAAACTTCACAAGGATACGGTTTCTCACCTGTGTGGCGTCGTATGTGAACGGTCAGGTTCCACTCCTTGATAAAACTCTTTCCACAAGTGGGACAGGAGAAAGGCCTCTCACCTGTGTGGATTTTCATGTGGACAGTCAAGTAGTTTTGCTGTGAGAAGCGTTTTCCACACGCTACACAAAGGAACGGTTTCTCGCCTGTATGGGTTCTCATATGAGTCGCCAACTGGCAACCGAAGCTGAAGGATTTGCTACACAGCTCGCATGGAAACATCTTCTCGCCCGAGTGGGTTCTCATGTGAATGTGGAGGTTACTTTTCTGAGTGAAACCTTTTCCACAAGTCGGGCAGGAGAAGGGCTTCTCGCCCGAGTGCGTTGCCATGTGAATGCTCAAGTTGCCTTTCTGGGTAAAACCTTTTCCACAAGTCAGGCAGGAGAACGGCTTCTCACCCGTGTGGGTTCTAATGTGGACGGCCAAGTTGTTTTGTTTGGTGAAAGCTTTTCCACAGGATAGACACTGGAAGGGTTTTTCACCAGAGTGACTTCTTGTGTGATCGGCCAGTTGACTGCTGCTTTCAAAGGATTTCTTGCACACTTTGCAGATATGCAGCGTCTCACTGAGATCGTGGGCTTCAGTTGAGCTTGTAGAGAGGATTTGGTTCTGGTCTTCATCGATTTCCTGCTTCAGTAGATGCTGGTCTTCATCTGGACTACTGGAAAGATCCTCCTGTTTCTCTTTAATCCCTTCAGATTCCAATTCTTCCTTCGCCTGGATCACGTGAAGTTCTGGTTCTCTGTGGAGGAGAACCTCACTAGGTGGAACTGTAAAGGTTTCTGCCTCCTGCTTCACCACTTTGTTACAGACACTCAGTTCAATCTGTTCTTCTTTGACTGGTTGATGTTCCTCGGTTGTCGGTGGATCTGGTTCAGCGTCCGTCTCCTGCTTCACAACAACCTGCTCTGCATCACCAGACAGTTCCACCTGTCGGTCTTCTTCCTCTTTAATCTCCATCATCAGCTTTGGTTCTGGTCGTCCCTGTTCTTTCCTCTCTGGGTCGTTTGGTTTCTTCTTGTCAGGGTTGAAGTTTCCTTCCTTGTTAATGAGAAAGTGATCGTCAACAACCTCCCAGGTAAACGCCGACATGATGAAGATGACGGCCTGACGGAAAGAAGAACATTTTTTTACCATCAGATGACCAAAATATAAACAATATAAATATAAAATGTCAAAGTAATCTGTAGGGGGAAATGTCACTGGGGAGAGGGATCCCAAGGCCTTGGTTTAAAGGAATTCAGTTGTTTCAGCAGTTTTGCAGTTTTTTGGATGTTTGTTTGTCTGGTTCTGGATAGTTGATAAAACAGCAGCAGATCTTTAAGGTCCTGTGGTGCTGAGTCAGCAATTTACAGACTAACAACAGTACAGTAACTACAGGGAACCAGTGGCAGGAGTTTAGAATTGTCTTTATGTGGCTCTGAAGGTTCAGGTCAGAGTCCATCACTACACTCAAATGTCTAACCCGATTGCTAGTTTCTAGCTGTAATAACTGAAGCTGTGTGCTGACTCTTTAGGTCCAAAGATAGTAACTTTTTTTCTGTTCAGTTGGAGAAAATTATGGCACGTTGATGCATTGATTTATTCTAAGCATCTGTTCAGTGCTTGGATGGGTTCAGTCACTGAAATGATGCGATGATGAAGTTATGGTATCATTTACGCATCAAATGATACCACAACTTTCATCCGCATAGTTATGGTAGCTAATCTATTTGCTTGTTATAACCTGAGTTATTAGGAGCATGCAGACATTAAAGAAGGGATCCGCTGCATCATCATAGCAGTTTTGTCTCCCATGCTAAGAAATGACCTACTGATACAAAAAAGGCACTATTCTTTATGCAAGACCCAAACCAGTAAGGTGCTGTTCCAGAGAGTCAAACCCAACTCTACAGCTGGAATAATATATATCGGTCAATGGTGTCAAATATTTTAATTGTTCATACTGTGGTTCTTTCACAATCTGTATTTTTGTGGATGCAGAACCACCTCAACTGACTCATTTTGATGTGGAAAATGTGCTGAACTCCAGCCTCATCTCATTTAAACGCTTTAATGGCTAAAACATCTGTTCATTTACTCATTTTAAGGGTGAGGTTACCGATGTTTCCTCTCCCAATATGGCGGACGTGTCACCGCATCTAAAGAACACTGTTAGCTTGTAATTGCTGACACGGCTCGTTAAAAATGGTTCTCTTACCCGGTTATCAGGTTGTTTCTCTTTGGTTACAGAAAATGCAAACCAGTTCCCAATGAACGTTCAGTGTTGTTGGTGTGAACTCATTTTTATCCTTTCCTCTAAAGGGAAACCGGTTGCTTCTTATGTCCTGGGGTTAGCTTCTCACTTAGCTCCGATGCTAACCACTCTCCCTGCGGCTGCTGTTGCTCTTTAAACGGAGAGAAATCGGAGAGAAAGCGCTGTCACCAGGCAGCCGAAGCGGCTGTGAGCGCTTTTATTGGGATAAAATAAGAGGGCAAACTCAATAAAGAGCAAAACGACAAAAACTTTTTAATTGATCCTTTTTCTTTCGTTCTCTTCTTCTTGGCATTTAGCCTGCAGGTCGACGCATTACCGCCACCTGTTGGACTCGGGAGAGTATTACAACTGACGGGGGAAAACACGACATCCAAAAAGGTTTGTAAATTCTGTCTTTTAAAAAAATCACAGTTGTTGGTATATTGTGAGAACGAAGTCTTATTTACAAAACTGATATATATTAATCATGCTGTGCTGCTAAAATATTTGTAGCACAATCGATTATCACCATATTTCCTTTGATATTGTAAATGTGATAGGTTGGGTGACCTTTGACCTATGACAAATGTTTTGTTTAATATGAAGACACTCAAGACAGAACAAGCACAAAAATAGCAAAGTCTGAGTTTGTTAGTTATCCTTTTCCTCTGTGGATGTTTAGTCGTGCGTCTTATCTGAAATCTTGTAAATCATTTTCATGTTTTATGCAGAAGCATATAAAGCACATAGAAAACTATTCACCATGTTTTACCCTTTTTATTGTTTTTACAAACCAATCTTAAGCAACATAATGGAACCTTTAGAAGAAATCTGCAAAAGAAAAGCCTTTGATGTCAAAGTGAAAACAGATTTGTACAAAATAATGACAAATACAAATATGCAACATAAAATAAGTGGTTGAATAAATATTCACCCCGTTTGACTCAGTTTTAGATGCACATTTGGAATCAGAAAGTCTGCGGACGCTGCAGTTTTTCTCCATTCTTCCTAACAAAACGGTTGAAGCTTCTCAATAAGCTTTTCTCTGATTGGTCAGAGTTCTTTAATCTTGATGCAGTAGCCAGGAAAACTGATGAACCAGTGAATGGACCTTCCAGACAGACAAGTCTTTATTAACAGTGAACTCAAGTGATCCCGGTTCCAGAAACTAGAAACACCAAAGGGAATGAATATTTATGCAATTATTTAAAAAAATATATTATTTCATTGTAATTATTTTTGCAGAAATCAATATTCACAAACAGTTTTATGAAAAGAGTACTATTCTTTCACATACACACTTATTAATAATAAGAAAAATATCAATAAACAGCAAAAATAAGAACAATTCAGATGAAGGATTCCAGCAAATTTACAGAATAAAAAAGGCTTCTTGGCCAACTAGAAACTATTTGGTTTCTATTTTGTTTGATATAAAACAATGGACAAAAATCATTTTTACAGGCAAAAAGATAAATGTTTTAAATAACATTCTATATTTTGATTAGCTTTCAATTAAGACAGCTGCTGGTTTTCTATGACAAAAGTATACTGGTTCCCCCTGGCATAAGCCAGTTAGCATGAGATGCCTTTTTACAGGTAAAATCATTACCTGTAAAATACAAAGTGGGGAAAACAATAATACATAAGTAATAATAATAGCCCTGGTCACATTCCCCCTGCCTGTCAAAATATATTCTACAAACTTTTTTTAAGGCTTATTTACGTACATATCCAGTCAGATTATGACCGGAACCCAATAATTTACCGAGCAGGTAAATTAGTGCTTGTTTGAGTCCAACTTGTTAAACCGGAAAGTTTGGCGAATTTCTTTCCACAGAGAAGACATTCTCACCTGTGTGGCTCCTCAGGTGATCTTCCAGCTGAATGTTGTCGGTAAAAGATGATTCACAAAGATTACAGGAAAACCTCTTCTTGAGCTTCTTATCTGTGTGATTTTTTATGTGTTTAACCATAGACATCTTGTTGGTAAATAATTTACCACATTCTTCACATGAAAACGGTTTCTCGCCTGTGTGACTCCTCCGGTGACGGTCCAAGTTACCTCTGGATATGAACGATTTATCACAAAGGTCACAAGGATAGGGTTTCTCACCAGTGTGAGTCCTCATGTGACACGCCAAATTAAATTTTGTATGAAAAAATTTAGGACACAGGTCACATGGAAACGGTTTCTCCCCTGTGTGACTTCTCATATGTTTAACCAGAGCCAACTTGTCAATAAAAAAATCCCCACAAACTTCACATGAAAATGGCTTCTCACCTGTATGAGTCCTCCGGTGGCGGTCGTAGTTAATCTTGGCTGCAAAGGTTTTATCACAGAGGTCACAGGGATATGGCTTTTCAGGTAGATGAACTCTAGAGTGTTCTTTTAAAGCGCCTTTACTTGTGTAGCTTTTCCCGCAGGTGGGACATGAGAATGGCCTCTTGTTAGAGTGCAGTTTGACGTGACGAACCAGACCTCGTTTGTTTTTGAAAGACTTATCACACAAACCACATGAGAACAGCTTCTCGCCTGTGTCTACTAGGTTGTGTGTAATGCTGTGTTTTTTCAGGCTGCTTTTACTTACGTAGCTTTTTCCGCAGATTGGACATGAGAATGGTTTCTCGCCTGTGTGGAGTCTCATGTGACAAACCAGATTTTGACTCTTGGTGAAAGATTTATCGCACAATCCACATGGGAATGAATTCTCTCCCAGATGGTCCTTGATGTGTGCGTTTAAGCTGCTTCTGTTGATGTAGCTTTTCCCACAAGTCTGACACGAGAATGGTCTTTCGCCAGTGTGATTTCTCATGTGACGAACCAAATGACTGCTAAAGCTAAATGACTTACTGCAGACCTGACAGGTATGCGGTTTCTCACCAGTGTGGATTCTCATGTGAATTTTCAGGAGAGTTTTCCTGATTAAATGTTTTCCACATATTTTACAGGAACGCATGCTTTTCTTTAGCTTTTTCATTTCAGAGTGTTTAACACTTTCATTCTGATTCTTTGTCCGCTCTTCATCTACATCCAAAACCAGGTCTTTATCTCTGCATCCGTCCTTTGGTTGGTGTTCAGCTCCAGGGGAGTTGGACGGGTGGACCTGTTTCTGGTTTGGATCGGGTTCACTGCTGTATTTTTCCTCATGCGTAAGAGTTTCTCTGAAGGAATCCTGCTTTGCTACAAGTTGATCTTCATCCTGATCACTGTAGAGTTCCTCCTCTTCTTGTTTAATTTGTACCATTTCTAGTTCCTCCAGTTCTTCTTTAATCTGTTCAGGTTCTGGTTCCTCCTTCATCCCTGTGATCTGCTGCAGTTCAGGTTTATGCTGGAATATTTCATCAGAACCAGCAGACACCTGAAAGACATCGGCATCCGTCTTCACAACAGACTTCTCGTCATGAAAGATGTCGAGCTCAACTTGTTCTTCTTTGATAGGTTGATACTGTGGTGCCTCCTTCATCTGGTTTAAATCTGGTTTTCTGTCTTCCTCTTTCATCTGTAGATCAGTCGGTGAGTTGTGATCACCAACCGAGTTGCTTTCTCTTTGAATGAGTAACCGATCACCAGCAACAACCCAAACGTTAACGGACATGATGCTGTTTGGGACCTGAAGGAACAACAAATGACACACTTTAATATTAAAGGTTTTGACAAAATGTATTGATATGAATTGATTTGGGTAAAAAATGCTTTAAAAATACATAAAAACACCTGAAAATGTTTAAGTATTAGGAGGTTCCAGTTTGGTATTGGGAGTAAAACTTATTATTTGCTCCTATTCTTATACACTACAATAATTTTATCTTGTTTCTCTTACTGGACTGAGTCTGTGCATTATAGGACTTTTCTCTTAGAGCAACATAGAGAACTGATCAAGATGAATCTAAGAATCATATAAACTTATTTTCCTAAATCAAATCAAATTGTATTTGTATAGCACATTTCAGCAGCAAGGCATTTCAAAGTGTTTTACATCATGAACACAAAAACACAAAGTAATGTAACACAGAACAATACATTGTTACATATTACACTTCAAATACAATTCTAAACAGGTGGTTTTTAGTTGAGATTTAAAGGAAGTCAGTTTCTGCTGTTTTAACATTCTTGACGGTGGAAATAGTATGACTACCACTTAGTGTTATTTAAATGATGAAAACACAAATTCACAAACAACATATTCCCAGCAAACATAAAAGTCGCAAAGGTTTGTCTCTTATAATTTGGAGTGAATTTATGGGGCAAAAATAAAGATTAGTAAATGTAGAAAGTTAAAATAAGTAGCAGAATATTTGCGTTTTTGGAGTAAAATGTCAGAATGGGTTAAATGAGCAATGAAATCAGTTTCACAAATTGGAAGTCAGTTGTGTTATTTAGGGTTTTTGTCGTTATACATGTTTTTTATGCGTTTGATGTTTTTCATGATGAAAAGAATTTTGAACTGCCTTGTTGCTATACAAACAAACTTAATTGTGTTTACTTATTTCACTAAAATAAAAAAAAAATTATAACCTAACGAGTAGAACACGTACGTTTGTTCAATATGAGCCTTAAACTGCAATGAATGGAGCTTAAAACCGCAGCACTTCCGCTCCCGGTACTGAGTGACTTGTTGCTGTTTCCTCTCCCAATATGGAGGACACGCTGACGTTTTTTAGCACCTAGCAGTCAACGCAGAAGCTACCAAACATTTGTTGCCTTAATTGGTCAAAAGACGGTTCTCTTACCGGACAGTATTGCTTTTATTCCCTAGAAGAAGATCTGGCAGCCGCACAGAATCCAATAAGAGTCCAATAATCTTCCTGCGAAGTTTTTTTCGCGATTCTCTGGAACTAGAAGCTGGTAACTTCTCCTCCTGAAGCTGTTAGCTTCTCAGGAGGCTAACTGGTCTCACTGGGTGTTTGACCTACTAAAACAGACAAACATCGACATTAAAGTGAGACTGTTAACATTATCGGAGCTCACAGTGAGACAAAATGTGAAGGTTAGCAAAGTTTAGCCGAAGAGCAGAAAGAAACCAACGTTCAAATTCCTTCTTCTGCTTTTGGTTGTGGCGGTTGCCTAGCCTGCCGAGCTCTTCTTCTGTTTAACGGCATTTGGTGAGCAACGTTCAGGTGAGCATTACCGCCACCTACTGGAAGTGGGTGTGGATCGGGATGCTAAAAATATTACACGGATTCATAAGCAATAACATAATTACAATTAAAAACAAAAAATCTATATTGTCTATGTGATTCAGAGGTAGAGTTTATCCAAAATGCTTGTTACGATTATTTGCCCTGTTTTTCTCATTAAACCAAATTTCTTTGGACTGCTCAAAAAAAAGTAAAAAGTATTTGTTAAAATGTGCATTCAAGTTCTGAGTAACTGATCAAAGTATTGATGATTTAATATTTAAAAAAATACATTATCAGACAGACCAATATATAAAATGGAAATGTTGGTATTTTAAGGATGAAAATTACTGTAATTCATAAAAATAAATAAAATATGACAAAATTAGACAAGAGAAAATTTCTCCAAATCAGTTTGTTTAAATACATAACTTATCAAACTGTTTTTTATCAGTGTTTTTTCCCCAAGAGCTTCTGCGGTGCTAGTGGCACGTATTTTTGACATTTGCAGACAGGAAGGAGGGTGAGGACAGAGGGGAAGACATGCAGCAAAGCTCGCCGAGACCGGGAGTCGAATCCCTAACGTCTGCAACGAGGACTAAGGCCTCCAAACTCTATACTCTTAAAACTACATTTTCTCAAAGTTACTCGGTTAAATGTAACTGAATAAATGTAACTAGTTACGACTGAACTCTGCTGTTGACTGTCAGTTGATGATGATCCACACAGAGCTGCTGCTCTGACATACAGGGACTTAAATTTGGTGCTGTTTTGGAACAAAAATTGTTCATAATTTCTTTTAACTTTCATGTCTTACTTGTTTTAATATTAATCATACTTGTGTAAATCTGAACATGAACCAGGTTTCTACCAAATGAAACCAGAGCTTGGCTCTATGTAATCCGCTTACTGACCAAAACAAAAATACAGATCCTCTTCATTAGGTGAACTCACCCACTCTTGTCTAAATATTTTAATTTCATGCCCTGAAAGCATTTGACACATTGAATCCAAACTGTAAAAACAACAACAAAAAAATCATGTAAAACACTCAGCAATTTATTCCTCCTTTAATTGAATTCATACAAAGCAGAATACATAACAAACTGCAGGTCTTTCTTTCAATGTGTAAGAGGTTTAGCCAGGAAGCGAAACACTCATTAAGATTAAAAATCTCATTTTAATGATTCTTCTGGGCCTTTCAGCAGCAAAATAAGATCATTAAAACTTTTCCAAAATAGTATGACAAAAAGGCTGAAGCACTGAATAAGTGATAAACATTTCTGTTTGGCTTTCATTTAACTTTAAGGGCATTTTCATTCATTTTTATGGCAATGTCACAACAGCTGAAATCGGTCAGTCTCTGCCTTAAAAGGCAAATAAATCTGCAAAACAAAGCAAAGCAGCGAAAGTAACATTTATACTGTGAAACAAACTGGCAGCATGCAAACCAGAGTGGACTCAAAACGGCGCCTTCAGGGACTCCACAGATCCAGTTACTGACTTTGTAAACCTGTAGATTTACAAAGTTTGTCTACGTTGATTTGAGCTGAATGGGCCAAAATTCATGGGCATAATCAATAGATGGATGGATTTGGATATTTTAATACCATGAAAATCTAGAAGTAAAACTAAAAACTGAATTTTCCTGATTACTTTGGTAAAAAAAAGGTAAAACGACAACAAAAAAGTAGGTCAGTAGCTATGGGCCTCATTCCTTCTACATATCAAATAAATGATGCTTTACAATCTTCTCTACGGTTTATCTTCACAAACATGTGCAGTCAGTTTATATCTGGCAGTGAATAATTTACCACACAGTTCACAGGAATACGACTTTTCTCCTGTATGAGTCCAGATGTGCTTCGTCAGACTGTAGGGTTTGGAGAACTTCTCTCCACAGGTGACGCATGAGAAGCTCTGCTCACCTGTGTGGCTCCTCAGGTGATCGTCCAGCTGAATGCTTTCGGAAAAAGATGCATCACAAACATTGCAGGCAAACATCTTCTTGTCTAAGTGACTCCTCAGGTGTTTGGCCATACTGCTCCTGTCACTAAAAGATTCACCACACTTTTTGCACGTAAACTGCTTGTTGCCTTTGTGGGTCTTCATGTGTTGGGCAACGTTAGCTCTGCTTATGAATAATTTACCACACAGGTCACATGCATAGGGTTTCTCGTTGGTGTGGGTCCTTCTATGGCAGCCTAAATGAAATTTGGTATGAAAAGATCTAGGACACAGATCACACCGAAACGGCTTCTCTCCCGTGTGACTTCTCATGTGTTTAACCACAGCCAGCTTGTCAATAAAAAAATCCCCACAAACTTCACACGAAAACGGCTTCTCGCCTGTGTGAGTCCTCCGGTGGCGGTCGAAGTTGATCTTGACCGTGAAAGCTTTATCACACAGGTCACACGGATATGGCTTTTCAGGCAGGTGAACCTTGAAGTGCGCTCTTAAGCCATCTCTAGTGGCGTAGCTTTTTCCACAGGTGGAACATGAAAACGGCCTCTTGCCTGTGTGGAGTTTGCTGTGACGATCCAGACCTCGTTTGTTTTTGAAGGCCTTATTACACGACCCGCAAGGGAACAGCTTCTCATCTGTATGGACTATGACGTGTGTTTCACTGTGTTTTTTTAAGCTTTTTCTGCTTACGTAGCTTTTTCCGCAGGTGTAACACGGGAATGGTGCCTCCCCTGTGTGGAGTCTGGTGTGATAAACCAAATTTTGCCTCTTGGTAAAAGATTTATCACACAATCCACATGGGAATGGCTTCACTCCAAGATGAGTTTTCATGTGTGCGCTTAAGCTACATCTGTTTATGTAACTTTTTCCACAGGTCTTGCATGAGAACGGTCTCTCACCTGTATGGGTTCTCATGTGCCGAACCAAACCACTGCTGTAGCTGAACGGCTTACCGCACACTTTACAGGTATGCGGATTCTCAGTGTGGTTTCTCATGTGAATTTTATAGGCAGTTTTCCTGATGAAACTTTTTCCACATATTTTACAAGAACACATGTCTTTCTGGAGCTTTTTCAGTTTTGAACGGTTAACAATGTGGCTCTGATTGATTGTCAGCTTTTCATCTCCATCTTTGCATCTGTGCCGGTCTTGGTTTTCAGCTTTACAGGAGTTTAAAGACTGGATCTGGTCTTGGTTTGGGTCTGATTCACTGCAGTATTTTTCCTCATAGAGAGGAGTTTCTCTGTTGGAATCCTGCTTCACTAAAAGCTGACCTTCATTCTGATGGCTGCAGAGTTCCTCCTCCTCCTCCTCTTGTTTAATCTGAACAGGTTCTTGTTCCTCTTTAATCTGTGGAGCTTCTGGTTCCTCCTTTGTCTCCATCATCTGTTCATTTGTATTTTGGAATATTTCATCCCAACAAGCAGCCACCATGAAGGCGTCAGCTTCCTGCTTCACTACAGATTTCTCTTCATGAGAGATGCTGAGCTCAACTTGTTCTTCTTTGATGGGTTGGCGTTCTGGTTCCTCTTTCATCTCTACATTATTTGGTAAGCTGTGGTTATGAATGGAGTTGCTTTCTTGTTGAATGAGGAACTGACCACCAGCAACCACCCAAATATTAACGGACATGTTTGAGACCTGAAAATAGAACAAAACAAATTTAATAATTTTGACAAAATGTATTTATATGCATTGTTAACCTTATAAGAACAAAAACAAACTGATTTCAGCTGTTAGTAGGACCCAGTCCATAATAATATGCCTCCTTCAGACCTAAGGGATGGATGCTGGGCATTAATCTAATCAAACGAAATGGTCAGGATGTATATTCTTGCATCCACTGAAATGAAGGCATCAAGGCCAAAGCTCTATGTCCTGAAGCTGGACAGCCGTCTTCGGTGCTCAGCTCTGATGCACCAACGGTTCTTTCCTATTTTGTTGGATGAAGAAAATCGTTTTAAAACATTCAAAGTGTAACCTTGTGAACCTTTAAAGAGTGATTTTATGTCCATAAAAATGTTTTGGAAGAGATATTTAATCTGTGGCAAAAATAAGGACTATAAAACAATTAAGATTGCTAGAATTAGTTTCTGGAGTGAAACTAATTCAGCTATTAGAGGACAATAATCCAGTCCAGGTTTGAAGAGTCTAGGTGTATTAGTTTTTAAACTAGGATTGATTAAAGATGGGAAAGGCTGTGAAAAATGAGGTGGAATCGCCCTTTAGCCATTTTCCGAACCGGAAACCAACCTCAGCTTCGTCCTAACTCTTACGATACATAATTTTGTTTAGTGAGTCGTAAATCGCTGTGTGAGTTGGACTAAAATCACAACACCTCAGCTCTGTTTCACGGTTAACTAGCCTTTGTTTCCCCTCACAATATGGTGGACACACTCACATGTTAGCTCGGAGTCAAAGCGGCAGCTAGCACGTTTTTGTTGTCTAATTTTGTGAGAAGACGGCTCTCTTACCAGCTATACCTGTTTTATTCTGTAGAAGAAGAGCCAATAGCCACACAGCGTCCAACAAATGTCCAATAATCTCCTTTGTGAAAACTTTTTGTTCGTTTCTCCAGCACGAAACTAGCTGCTTCTTGTCATGAGCGTTAGCTTCTCCGATAGCTAGGAGGCTAACTGATGTCGCTCTGGGTGCTGGAGCAGCTAAAACAGACAAACACTGATATCAAAGTGAATCTGTCAATATTACCACAGCTTACAACGAGCCAAGGTGTGGAGGAGGCTTTAAAAGAAGAGCAGGACGAAACCAAAGTTCTTCTTCTTCTGTATTATTTTTCTTCTTCTCTTGTTTCGACGGGTCCTAAGAAACCGAAGCTGCGTATTACCGACACCTGCTGGTTGGAGGACCGCTCAAAATGTTTTCTTCTTTTACAGCTTCATTATCAATTGTCAGATACATTTTCCTAAACAACCTAATTACACGTGGAATAATTTTACTTTCGGAATCTCTTTATAGTACATTTATTTAATTAAATGTTTCTCTATTTTTTTCTAAATTCCTCCAACATTTGATTTCCAATGTAAGAATATGTTCTTCTGTTTCAAGCAACAAAATATAACCTGGATCCTCTGGATGAGGTCCAACTGCTTAAAGAATTACAAATGTAAACAATACAGACATAAATTATACAGAAAAACAAAAAGTGAAAGAAAATCATAAATTATATAACTGTGGTTCTGCTCAAATTGCCCAACTTCATCCAAAATCTCATTCTGATGTCTAATAACTTATACATAGTACTTATGGTGACTAAAGTTGATCCTAATAAATGTTAATCATCAAAAGAAAATGATCTTAAAATACGTTAAAATGTTTAAATTGTCCACTCGGCTCTTTCAATCAATTTTTCGAGTACTTCTCATATTAAAGAGGTTCAGAATCATGGGCTGTCCTGCTGAAACTAAATCTGCTGTACATCTGGTTGCTTGTGTTCCTCTTTCATCTCTATTTCATTTTGTAAGCTGTGATCATAAATGGAGTTGCTTTCTGGTTTAATAAAGAACTGATCACCACCAACCTCCCACATATTTACAGACATGATGCTTCTGGAGGTCTCAAGGCAAAACAAACAAAACAATTTAATGTCTAAAAATTGGACAAAATACGCATATGATTAGCTTCAGTTACATTTTATAACTAAATTAATCAAAAGAACACCTGAAAGACTTCAGCTTTTAGAAGGTTTCAGGTCATGTTTCTCCTGTCAACACATTTTCTATTCATAACACAAATAGCTGAAAGGACTCAAACAAACTGCTTCTGGTTAATATATATAATTGAATAAATGAAAAATATTTAAGCTAGAAATAACAAATTCCAAGGCAAGTTATAAAAGGTGTTCCTTTACAAAAAGGAGCCAAGTTGCCTGAGAGGGAAATAAGGATAGTAAAATGGTGTTAAAGTTACTGGTAAGCTATTTTGGGTTTCTGTTAAGTTATATTGGCCTCAAGTAATGAAATCAGCACCAAAAAGACATGCTTTTTATTTACAAATTGAAAGAATCAATAGTGTTTGCATTTTTTGTTTATACATATTTTTCTACTATTTAAAAAATAGTGTTTTTATTTTTTTAAAATAGCTGAGTGGATCCACGTTCATGCACATCTACAATAGATGATTTTATTTCCATTGATCTGTACAATTTACCAAAGAACTGAATTGTCCTGGTTTAAACAAAATATTATCTATTTTGTAAATGACAAAATAGATAATACTTAATGTAGTTATAAGTTGGATTTCATCTGTGGGTCAAAAAAATGATGTTTTATAAACTTTAATATCTTTCTAAGGTTTATTTTCACAAACATGTGCAGTCAGTTTATATCTGGCAGTGAATAATTTAGGGCACAGTTCACATAAATACGACTTTTCTCCTGTATGAGTCCGGATGTGCATCGTCAGACTGTAGGGTTTGGAGAACTTCTCTCCACAGGTGACGCATGAGAAGCTCTGCTCTCCTGTGTGGCTCCTCAGGTGATCGTCCAGCTGAATGCTGTCAGTAAAAGACTCATCACAAAGATTACAAGGAAACAGCTTCTCAGGCATCTTGTCTGTGTGAGTTGTTGCATGTTTTAACATAATGTATTTGTTTGTGAATAATTTTCCACACAATTCACACAAAAATGGTTTTTCGCCTATGCGAGTCCTCCGGTGGCGGACTGAGTCGGTCCTGTTTACGAATGATTTGGCACACAGGTCACAGAGGTCACAGGGATATGGCTTCTCCTGCAGCTGAACTCTGCTATGTGATTTAAGTTTGCGATTGGATTTGCTGTCACAGTTCGTGAAAACAGCTGTTACTGGACTGTCATGTTTCAGTGTTGAGAAGAAATGATCGATCAGTTATGAAGTTTTATTAAAGCACCATTTTCTGACCGGGAACCAGCTGCTGCAGCTCTTCTCAGAGCTAACTGAAGCTAACCGTCCTATCAGGCTGTTCGAGCTGCTAAAAGAAAAAACACATCACTGCGAAAGATTGTCTGCAAATACTATTAAAGCTCATAAAGAGACAAAACGCAAAGAACGATTTACATTCAGTGAACGGAGCCGCAGTCTCCCTTATTTTTCTTCTTCTTCTTCTTTTTGTTTTATGGCGGTTGGCAAACAACTTAAAGGTGCTTTACCGCCACCTTCCAGACTGGAGTATGGACCAGAGCAGAACCACTACAATCTTTCCCTTACTTTTCTTCTTCTTCGGCTTTATTTAGTAGATGACAGAAGAATTGTAAGTACAATACCACCTCTTACTGGACAGGATGTGTAAAAGCTACATTCTGCCTCAATGTTTTTAGACATACTAAACGTAATTTTCCTAACACACTAAAGTAATTTTTTTTTCTTAAACGGTCTTCATTTCTGTACTCAGGGTTTGGACAGATTTAGCCCCTCTTTCAAAACAGTTTCTGTCAATATGAGTCATCCACATATTATGCAGTACCTCTAAAAAGTATTCATCCATTTGGATATTTTACCCATTTTATTACTTTACAAACAAACCATGAGGAACAAAATTGGACTTTTTGACAAAAAAAGTAAAAAAAAAAAAAAGGAGGAAAACTGATTTGTACAAAGTAATGACATGTTTTCAAAAATGAGACATCCAACAAGAGATTGAATACATATTCACCCTCTTCAAGCCAGTATGTAGCAGATGCATGTTTGGCAGCAATACTGAAAGGTTTATCACACACTTTAGACGAACACAGATCATCTCCTGTTCTGACATGAAAAGCCAAAGATGGTTCTGTATGATTTCTCACACAGGAAAACGGCTTCTCACCTGGATAAATCCGGATGTGACTGGCTACATAAGATTTATCACAGATGTTGGTAGAGCCAGCAGTTTGCAGAGGAGCAATGACATTTCCATTCATTGTGTTTCCTGTGTGTAAAAAAAAAAAATGTAAATCTATACTGAAACAAAGCAAACTAATCAAGGACGTCTCCAAGATTCATCAGGAAGTAATAATCCCATAAACGTTTCAGTTTCCAGTTAAAATGTCTTCATAATCGTCAAACAGGTTTAACTCAGATCTTTATTCGTCCACTAGAGGGGGTTGTAGTCCCAGAAAAATTATTATGCAAGTGAAAAATAATTAAACATGTCTGTTATATTCTAAGAAAAAAGCTAAAGTAATATTCAGATGCAAGATCCATAATATGTCAATTTTTTTATAACAAAACCAACTAGAAATCGAAATTTCTCTCACTGCAGCAACATTTGTTGGGATTCTTTTTTTTTAGAAATGATTTGCGGTAACAGAAATTTGGGAACCATTGTATGGATCAGATATGTCAGTTCCAAGCATTTTTTTTATCTTTGAAAATTAAGATGACCACCAGATTAAAAAGGAAATTGGGGCAATTTTTATTCAGTTTGCAGAATCATCCAGGTAAGAAGTTAACAAGCTGGGCTCAATTCTCAACAACCTGGACAGGAAAAAGGATGAGATGCACTAATGAGATTGTAATGCAGCGGCAGTGACGCACTTTGAATTAGCTGTAAGGTTTTGTCATAATTGCAAAATAAAATGCTCCTTTTGCTCATTTCTAGAACATTCCCTGCATTAACTTTGAAACGAAAGCAGTTTCTCTCTGGACTCCTCACACATTTAAGATGGAGATAAATTGCGGCCATAAAGTTCGTTCAAAAGATTTTTTTTATTTGAAAACATTTTTTGAAAATTAAACTGAAAGAATTTTGAACCTGAAAAGTTTGGATTTTTTAAAATTATTATTATTTTTGTGTTACCAAAATGTAACTAATAAATTTACATAAAGTTGAGATGGACTGGCGACCTCTCTAGTGTGAAACCACCTCACTGCTGGAGAAAGGCACCTGCACTCTCATAACCCCAGGGAAGAAGCGTGTGTGATAATGGATGTGTGAATGGTTGCTGGTTCTGTTGCCTCTCTAACATGAACCCCACATCCGGCAGCAGATGGGCACCAGGAGATGGATTTAGGAACCATTCAACAGCTCAGACAGAATATAAAGTTTTTATGTAATCTGCTAGTTATTTCATCAAACTTAACAAGCATACAGCTTCCCACCTGTGTGGGTTCTCATATGCTTAGCCATGCTGCTGCTGTCACTAGAAGCTTTACCACAAACATTACAGTAGTAGGGCTTCTCACCTGTATGAGTTCTCATGTGTTTAGCCAGATTGCTGCAGTCGCTAAAAGCTTTACCACAGGTTTTGCAGTGATACGGCTTCTCACCTGTGTGAGTTCTCATGTGGTTGGTCAAAGGACTCCGGTTACTGAAGGATTTGCCACACACTTTACAAGAATAAGGCTTCTCGCCTGTGTGACTTCTTATGTGATCATTTAAGTATGTTTTGTCACTGTAAGCTTTCCCACAAACATCACAGGAGTAAGGTTTTTCTCCAGAATGAGTTCTCATGTGAACAGTCAAGTTACTTTGCTGGGTGAAGCCTTTCCCACACACCAAACATGAGAAAGGCTTCTCCCCCGTGTGAGTTCTCATGTGGCTAGCCAAATGGCCACTGGCTCTGAAAGATTTCCCACATAACTGACAGGAATGGGGCTTTTCGCCAGTGTGGGTTCTCATGTGTACAATCAAGTTAGTTTTCTGTGTGAAACCTTTCCCACAGGTTAGACATGAGAAGGGTTTTTCACCCGAGTGGGTTCTTATGTGATCAGTCAGGTAGTTAGATTTAGTAAAACATTTACCACAAACTTCACAAGAAAAGTTTCTGTCTTGTACAATGTCGGTGTTTAGTTCTGGTTCACAGGAAGGCATCACCATGAAGGTGTCCGTTTCTTGTTTCACTCCTTGCTGGTCGTTTTCCTGGAAGGCACTGCCTTCAACTGGTTCCTTATCAATTTGTTCTGCTTCATTCTTTCTCCCTAACATCTGCTGGAGTTCTGGCTCACTGTGAAACGTTTCCTCACAAGTGGAAGTCAGAATACATGTGTCAGTTTCCTTCTTCACATCAACCCGCTCTTCATCCTGAATGATGCAGACTTCAATCTCTTCTTCTTTAATTAGTCGAGCTTCTGATTCCTCCAGTTTCTCCTCCACCACATTGTCTTCGTTACAGTCCAGAACGGAGTTGCTTGATTGGTTGATGAGAAAGTGATCGCCAACAACCTCCCATGTGATGACAGACATGATGCCGTGGAAAGCCTGCGCTAACAAGAGAGAATTAGGGCTTATTAAAGGGGTAAAAACAAATCTGTGTGAGATGTGAAGAAAGAAAATGTGGATATTCCACAAATCTGATTTAACGCTCTGTCACTGTTCTCATTCAGTCCTTCAGTAAATAGGGTTGGGCAATATGGCTAAAAACATATAATGATAAGTATTCATATCAGTTGATTTAGATAATTATTGGTTAGTTTTCTGTTTGAAATATCTTAACTACTGCCAAACTGTAGCCTGACCATTCCTCTTTTAATTACTGTTTACACTCGATGCTGTTTATTTTTAAGCACTCATAAGTTACCAGCAGGTTGTTGCTAAGTAAAGAAAAGGTAAGTGAGTTAGTTGATTCCACCGGCCTTGCTAAGCTAGCTGTGAGAGGTTGATCGGCTAAAGCAGGGGTCCCCAAAGAGGGTCCTCGAGGGCCGTCACCCTGCATGTTTTAGTTCTCTCTTAGTGGAAGTGACAACCTTTTCAGAATGCTGATGTTCTAGGCCTCTAATGAGCCATCATTTGATCCAGGTGCGTTAAATCAGGGAGAGAACTAAAACATGCAGGATGTCAGCCCTCAAGGACCCACTTTGGGGACCCCTGGGCTACAGCCTTTCCTCTGCCTACATCTCCCAGAATGCTGTGCGGTTTAATATCGGATTATTGTGACGAGGGTACTATCGTGCATGCTGCCCCAAGTGGTAGCTTCAGTCAATTCATCATAAATGAAAGGCTGTTGGTTTTAACAGATAATTGAACATTTGGACAGTTATCTGTTAATAGCCAGAAGGTTATTTTCACCTCTATCCCTCGAGAGACGGTCAAAGTCCCGAAAGGAATGAGAATAAACACTTGTATTCGAAACATTTTATGTATTTCATGTAAAATGCAAACACTAAACTGTATTTGATGCTTTTCAAATTGCAGCGCCTCCATTCACTTTAATGCGTTACAGGCCGCTCTTTCCTCTCCCAACATGGCGGAGACGCTGACGTGTCACAGCAGCTCGCAGCACAAGAAGCTGTTAGCTGGGATTCAATACAGCAATTGAATCAACAGATCGCCAAATATCGCTCTCTTACCGACTCTTGACGTGTTTGCTCGTCCGAGAAGGACTTGAGTAAATGTCCAATATTTTCAATGTGAAGTCTCCTTTTGTCGCATTTATCCTGAAAGGAAACAGTTAGCTTCTCTGTTAGCTTCTCTGTTAGCTCGGGGGCTAACAGGTCTTCTTCGGGCTGCTGCTGCTGGTAAACCAAGACAACATCAGTGTTCAAGACAAACTAAGAAATACTATCAAAGCTTATAAAAGTATATTAAACACAGAAAGCAGAAATTAAATAGCAGAAAATAGCGAAATACTGACGGAACTTATTCTTCATTTTCGTTCTCTTCTTGTTTTCGTACTTCTTCTGGTGTTTATTGTAAAAACAGCACCATCGTGTGCCACCTAATGGTAGGTTGCGTTGATCAGAACTTTCAGAACGATTGGGTAGATGTTTATATATTCTTCTGTTTTTGAAATACATTTATTCATTTGTGATATTAAATCAATCACTGAGTCCTTGGCATCTGACACCAAAATCAGCTTGTGGAAGCGCCAGGATCTGAGCTCGGTCCGCTGCCCTTTCACCCGACTGCACTGCAGACCACAGTGCCAGACCGTTAGCAGGCAACCCTCCTGGAGAGAGGCTTTTGGGTCAAAATGGGTAAAACGATTAATCTGTACTATGTAATATTAACTTTTTAAGTTAATTGCATGCACTAACCCATTAATACCGACAGTTTTAAGAGCTCATCCCTTTCACTCGCAGCCATTAAGCTTCATGTTTACCCTGTTTTGATTTCTGTCGTTTCTGTTGTAGGCCTACCATATATATCATTGCATTACTTACAGGAAGTGAAAAAGAGAGTTTTGAAAAACAGAAAATAGCAGAAAACTGGACTGAACAGATGAGTCTGAATCATGCAAGGGAAACCTCTTTGAAGTCATTCACAAAAACATAAATAATGACCAACCATTTTGACATCTTTCAAATTCGGTTCAAACCAATTAATTTATTTATCCTCAATCACAACAAATGTTGTTTCGAAGAACTTTACAAAAATGTCACTTTGTTTAAGTCACATACGTTATGATTTATAACTCACTGTGTCTAACTCAATTAATGATTAAAGGTAATTTTAAAAAGTTTCTATTTTAGGAAATCCAGCAGATTTCCTCACATTATTGACCTACAGCTTTCAATCCTCCTGGACGTAGTAACAACATTGTGTCATCCATACAGCTGTCCCTCATACTGAGGAAGCATAAAGTAACAATGGAGAGGAAAAACTCCCCTTAACAGGCAGAAACCTCCAGCAGAATGGGCAGAGTACCAGAAAAACATCAGCAACAGGACAGAGACAACAGTTAGTTGATGCATCAGCGCCTCAGCTGACGCTCTCCTGCAGAAAGGAACTGCCGCCAATCAGAACCAGAAGTAGCTTCTATGGAGAGAAAAAAGCAGAGAAAGCAAAACGTTAACGGTAGAAATAAAAGCAAATAATGCAAATTGTACAATAGTAGAAGAAGAAAGTGAGGAAAATAAACACAGACAAGCAATTGAATGTTTTATGCTCAGGAAGAAACAGTTTAACACATTATTGTGCACCGGAAGAAATATGATACATTGAAAATATTTAAATGAGAAATGTATATTAGGAGATCACGACATTACAATTTCTTCAGTGTACTTTGAATTAGATGTCAGAGGCTAATGTCCACTCCTTACCAGTTGGTGGGACCAGTGGCGCACTTTTAGGTTGTTTGCTAAACGCTAATAATTAGAAGAAGAAGCCGAAGCACTGCACGGTGAATGGGGCTGCCTTCCAACCCCAAAAGCTAAAAGAAAGAAGATGAGGAAATAAAGTTTGAGTTCTTCGCTTTTTTATTAAAACAGCCATATCGCCTTCTTAGCTTTGTTGACATTTGAAACACGCCTTTAAGGCCTAGTTTCCTCTTGTTTTAGGAGCAACAGCTGCCTGATAGGGACGAGTTAGCCTATAGTATTAGCGGTGAAGCTAACACTATGAACAAGAAGCAAACAGTTTAGTTTTAGAGAAAAGGGGACAAAACCAACTGTTCACGGACATTACTGGAGGCTAACTGGTCTCCGCACTGCTAGCATCTCATTCTCCGAGGAACACGAACGAGATTTTTACGGTAAGAGAGCAATATTTGACGTGCTAGGACAGTAAATGTTAGCTAGCTTCTGGACGGAGACGTTGCGTTTCCGCCATATTGGGAGTGGAAACAGCGGGTAGTAAAAACAAAGAAACACAACAGCATACAAGAAACAAATTAAACAATCAAACTCATACAATAATACACATATAAATAGTTTTGAGAGCCTAGTTGTTGGTGGAGGCTGGTATTGAATGTATATAGCTCCACAGCTCCAAGAAAGTGAAGACAGGATCATAAACAAACTGAAAAAGTGTTTAGCCCTGTTAATTTTGAATGTGCCTTTTAGGATACAGAAATCCAGTCAGTTAAAGTCACCTCATTGCTAGTTTCTCTGTATGAAATTAAGAAGCAAACAGTCAATGTCAGGGTGTTTTATTCGCCTGGCGGCCTGCCATGCTTTACTATATTATTATTTTTAAGAAATGTGATGCAGGTAAAACTATCACCTGAGGGATTCTGGGTAGAACAGATTTAGACTTCTTAAATTCAAAATGTTTTTTTTTTATACAGTTTTAGTTTCATTACAGCTCTATGTTGTTTCTCAGCAAACTGTCTTCTTTTGAGTCTATATTTTGTTAGCAGTTATTTGGTTATTAAATTAGCTGATGATTATTTAGCCTTTCACAATCAATCTGCTTTAATTGTTTCAGTCCTAAATGATAGAGCAGAAATTTAATCAAGTTTTTGAATCTGCAGCATTTACTCTTGAGCAAGCAACTCCAAATATTTCAGATTTCCATAAAATATTCTTGTTAAAGTCCTGCTTTGTCTCTCTGTCAGGTCTTCCACTCCACCATGTCCACTTTTACTTGGGAGGTTGTTGCTGATCGGTTTCTTGTTCACCAAGAGATAAACTCCAGTCCAAACGCTCTCAAGATTAAAGTGGAACAGGAGGAACCGGAACCTCAAGATGTCAAAGAAGAACAGGTTGAACTCTGCGTCTCTCCGGAGGAAGAGCTGCTTGTAATGAAACTGGAGACTGATTCCTTCACAGTGACCCCTGCTGGTGACGACATAATAAAGGAGGAACCTGAGCCTGTTATGATTAAAGAGGACAAAGAGCAGCTTGTAGTGAAGCAGGAGACAGAGACTGTCGCTGTGACCCCTTCCAGTAAACCAGAACCAAACCAAAACTTACTCCTCTCTGCAAGCATTTATGAAAACAAGCACCAACTTCAACGAGGAAGCAATCAGAAAGACGCAGATGAAATGAAAAAGCTGACGTCACAGAAGAAAAAATTGTTTTCGTGTGAGATATGCGGGGAAAGTTTCACTCAGCTTCGATACCTGACTGTTCATCTGAGGACTCACAAAGATGGGAAACCTTTCCAATGTGCCATTTGTGGAAAAGGTTTCACCAAGCAGAGCAACTTGACTGCCCACAGGACAATTCATACAGGGGAGAAACCCTTTCCCTGTGAACTGTGCGATAAATCTTTCAGGACCAACGGTCAGTGGGTCAGCCACACCAGAACTCACATAGGGGAGAAGACCTTTCCATGCCTGACTTGTGGGAAATGTTTCACCCATAAAAACACACTCAACAGGCATGTGCAGATTCACTCAAGTGGGAAATCTTTGTCATGTCTGACATGTGGAAAACTTTTTGCCAGAAAGACTACCTTGAATGTTCACGAGAGGAGTCATACAGGCGAGAAGCCGTATATCTGTAAAGTCTGCGGCAGTTCTTTCAATTATAGCTGGCATTTGTCTAATCATGAAATGATTCACACAGGCGAGAAGCCCTTCTCATGCGCGACTTGTGGAAAGAATTTCAGGGAGAAAGGAAGTTTAAAAACACACATCAGAGTTCATACGGGTGAAAAACCTTTCGTCTGTCGTGTTTGTGGAAAAGGTTTTGCTCAGAAGTATAATCTGACAGTTCACATGAGGACTCACACAGGAGAGAAGCCGTACTCTTGCAAAGCATGTGGTAAATGTTTCAGTGACAACAGTCATTTCAGGCAACACATTAAGTCTCGAAAAGATGAAAAGCATCTTGGGTGATAGGAAATCAATCCATCAAGCAATAATCTCGAGAAACCCAGCAATGGGGCTCAAACGTTGACATTTTCACCGTTCATGCTAAATGTTTACTGATGTTGAAATCTTAAAATGGGAAGTGTTAGGATTATATGATGGAATAAAAGGGCCAGGCTAGGAAAAATAGATATGAGAATAAAGTCATAATTGCCCAATGAAGTTGCAATAATATGGGAACAGAGTAGAAGAACTGTTTGTTTAACAAATATGGCGACCTGATTCTTGTAATGTCAAAAAAGAAAATCAGACCCTGAACTTTAAGAACTGCTAAACTTCATACTTAAGGAACGTTATCGCTCGTCATCTCAGAATAAGGGGATTGTGTCTGGGCAGCGATAAATTAATTTAGGATTCCGATATCGATTATTTTTATTGGTTTGATGTATTTTCAAATTGCTAAATCCTATTTTTCTTCTTGAATATTCAACCATTTTATTGCTCGATTATTTTTTCTAATGGATGGTTTTAAAGCAGAATACAAAGTTTATTGTTCAGACCTGGTTAAATGGAAACAATAGGGATGCAACTAACAATTATTTTAATAGTAAACTAACCTATTGATAATTTTTTTTTCTTTTTTTAGAATTTCCATCACTTTATGTGACTGAAACTCACTTATGTTGCTTGTAAAAATGTTCTAGTTTCTCTATTGTTCTAGTTTCCACACCATGACAGCACTTTTTTTTGCAAACAAAATAAAATGTGAATTTAAACTTTAACTGACTTTATTTTAAATAAAAAGTATATATTTACATCTGACAGATAGCAGTGAGTTGAATTATTTTCACAACTTGAAGACTGGAAATAACTTACAACTGATATTTGCTTTCAAACATATAATGATTAAATAAAAACTTTTTTCCCAAGCCATCTTCCAAACACTAGTTTCCCCCAAACAGTTAGTTATTCCTACATCAGTCCAGCACATGCAGCTGTCCCAATGCTGCATGTTTAAAAATCCACATTTACTCCTCTCTCTCTCTCGCTACTTCTACTTCGTTTAAATTGACTTATTAGCAAAAACAAGTAAATGAGTTGCTAATCTTTTGCTTAAACTTAACTCACCTGCAGAAACAGCTGCAGCTGCTTTCATGCCTTTCTGTCTGTTGTAAAGTCTGCATTTGTTTCCCTGATTGATTCCTCATCAGCTTTTAGTCTGATATTGTACTAAATCCCATCCTGAACTGTGATTTTGCTGCATTGTTGTTTTCTATTATTTTACTATTATAAATGAGTTTCTAAGTTTCTTTCTTTTTCCTTTTTTCAGGTTGCATGTTGATAACTTTGAGTTTGGCTCAACATTTTGACTGTAAGGTTAAACTGTTGTGTTAATAAATTCTTATGCTTTGGAGAAAGTTGTTTGTGTTTATTCTGTGTGTGTGTCATGCGATGCATCAGGTGCAAAATGTTTCTCTGCATAACAAACAGATCAGCTTCCTGGAAAACTACAGCTAAACAAATGAAGAACTGAAGGACAGTAAATGTTTTTCCCAATAAAATGATGACCTTGTGTATGAAATAATCTAGAAATTCTGAATTTCAACAATTTCAGTTTGGATTTTGAAGTACTGGGGTTTTATGTTTATTTTTTAAAAGGAAAAATTATTGTGACATGACACCAGGATGGTTCTGTAGCTGTGCAGAACCTCAATGGTCCTTTTACCGAACTGCTCTTGTTCTGAGGCTAAAAATGATTAAAACACACACGTCTCCTTTCGTGGTCCAAAAGCTCCCTCTCTTCGTGTTTAAATTTATTGCCTGTTTTCTGTGCTCAACTAAATCATCAGGTTGTTTTCTGACTCCAGCTTTCAGAACAAGCAACTCAATAAATACATTTGATACATTTGACTCAATAAATACATTCTTACTCTATATGTATTCAAGTCAGAAAATTAATAGAAAAATACCTCACAGTAATTTTAAAAACATTAGATCCCACTAAGCAGATTAAGTTCCATTATGTGGGGAATGTGAGGTGAACCTTAATGCACCACTATGCAGCAAAGCATGCTGGGAAACGCCTCACGGAGAAATCGCGATAATGTGGCTCCCTGCTGGGTTGCTACCAACTATTTACAGGGGGAAAGCTTCGTGCTCTCCATATAACGACTACTTTGAACGATATTCCTCCCCAGGCTTTGGCAGTAGACCCAGCTTTCCTTCAACGCCGATTCCTTTCCGTTTGGTCAACAGCCTGTGGGAAGCCCGTTAGCCTCTGAGCTAACTGAGAAGCTAACTCCCCGAGGACAGAAGCAACCAGTTTCACTGAAGCCAGAAACACGAAAATGTCTTAAAATCAGAAAATACTGGACGTTTATTGGATCCTGGGATGTTAAATGAGTTTCTCATTTAAGTGGAAAACGAGTTTGATCGGTAAGAGGACCTTGTCTTTTCAACTATAGCAATAAATGCTAGCTTTCCTATCTGCTACATTGGCGTAGCTGAAGCAACACGTCAGCGTGGCCGCCATATTGGTATAGGCAACTTCAGCCAAAGAAGTATTTCAGTGACCGAAGCTGCGGTTTTATTGGTCTAAATGGAGTTTGTTTGCATTTTTAGTAAACTGTTATAAACCCCAAACAAAACATATTATGTTGCTGTATGTAGTTAAACACAAAGAAAAATAAATATTATCTTCTTAGTCCCTGAAATAACATCTATTTGAACAAAAAATAATTTCATATTTGTCACTGAAAGATTAAAACTGACTTTTTAATCGCAGTGTTCTGGGTGAATGTTGATTGAATTTTCTTTTGTTGATGCTGCTATTGCTGAAACAATACTTTACTTTTTTCATCATTACTGTGTTTTAAGCACATCTGAAGTTTTTGCTATACAAATCCATGAGCTCTTTGTCCACTTTTTGCAACATGAAATCATTATTACAAATTAAGTTCTTTTACGTTTTAAATCAGCATCATGTCCCTCTTCTTCTCCTGTAAGGCCAAATCCTGTGATTTGGGCTGAAACCAGAAGTCTTCCCTCCCCAAACAGACAAATCTGCCAATTAAAGGAAGCAAATAAACACTGTGCTTCATGGAATGGTTATAAAATGTTTCATTGCAAAATTAAGAGAATTGTTTTAAAAATGTGAGAATAAAGTCATAATACTAGAATGAACTAATACTTGGGAGGAAAAAAAAATAGTAATTGAAAAAGTTCTACATGGTTTAGATCTGGATCACTGATTGAAGCTTTTGTTCTTTAAAATGATTTTTTCTTGTAATTTTACCACATTTCATGTTAATATTCCAAATTTATTCTGCTAATATTATGACTTTATTTTCACATTGTTTCAACTTTAATCTTGTAATTAAAAAAACTAATTTTTCAGTCTGTCCCTGATTTGGGAAGTAGCAACGTTAAAAACTTGACATGAATAATCTGGTTTGATCTATGTGATGGCCAAATCCATGGCCACACCCTGATGTCAACAAGAAGTGCTAATTGGATTACACCAATAGTTCCTGCAGGCAGGGGGATATAGTAGTTTGTTTGGGTAAGTTTTGTATTTAAGAAAATATTAGTATTTGAAGTTTGTTTTGATTTTCATTTTTGGATCTTTAGTTTAGCCAAACTTAGCTGTATTATTTGTTTTGTGTTATTTGTATTTGTTTAGTTACCCCTATTGTGTCATGGTCTGATCAGCCAGTATATAAACCCCTGTGTGTCATTTCTTTGTTAGGTCAGTTATGTTGTTGTGCAGTTAGTTTGGTTACACTTTTGCCTGAGTTCAGTTTTTTGTTCCTTTGACCTCTTTTATGAGCTCAGTTTATTTTTTGTCATTTATGATTTTGGGTTAAAATAAAAACCCTATTTTTCTAAATATATCCTGTGACTCCTCCTGTTTTAACTCGGTCCATCACAATCTACATTTTAAAAAGTTTTCTCAATGAAGCAAACATGAAAAGAAGCTGAAATCTTGCAACTGAATACATCAAACTTTGTTTTAAATTTTCAAAAGTTTTTAAATTACTTTAAATAATCTTTAAGCTTTGCTGTATAAATATTATCTAATTTTTTTAATATGTAATTTGCAGTTTTCTGATTAATTTTAAAGGATAACAATTAGCATTTTTAGCAATCTTAACATTAAACATCTTCTATCTTTTCCTGCAGACTGATCAAATGCTTTTTCCAACAAAACCTCCAGTCTTTGGCTCGACGGACTAAATGTCAAGTAATGAAGGAGGAGCAGTCAGAACCAGATTCTCAGCCGATGGCGGCGATGAGCAGGGATCCAGAATCTCAGTCGATCAAAGAAGAAGTGGAAGAGTTTCACCTTCATCAGGATGAAAAGAAGCTTTTAATCAAGCAGGAGATAGAAACGGTTTTGGTGACTTCTGCAAATGAGGACGTCGTCAACAATGTACCGCAACTGGAGCAGTTGAGGGAGACTGGTAAGCAGGTTAAAGAGGAACCAGAACCGGTGCTGATTAAGGAGGAACAGGAGGACCAGGATGAAAAGTGGCTTGTAGTGAAGCAAGAGATTAAAGAAGAGAGTCAACCTGAACCAAACAAAGCCCAACTTTTCTCTGTAAACCCCCCTTATGATGAGAACCATCAACAAGGAAGCAACCTGAAAACCTTGGAATCAAATGGAGATAAAGAGCCGAAGCTGAGAAAGAAACGGTGTAAAAAGAACCTGCCTTCTTGTGAAACTTGTGGCCAAACATTCACTCAACTTCGATACCTGACGGCTCACCTGAGGACTCACAAAGACGGGAAGCCTTTCCAGTGTGCGACCTGCGGAAAAGGTTTCAACAAGCAGAATAACTTGACCGTCCACATGAGAATTCACACGGGAGAGAAACCCTACCCTTGTGAACTGTGTGATAAATCCTTCAGAACCACCAGCCAGTGGGCCAGCCACACAAAAATCCACATTGCTGGGAATCCTTTTCGATGTGAGACCTGTGGGAAAACCTTCACCAAGCAAAACAACCTAACTAAACACGAAAGAGTTCATACGGGTGAGAAGCCCTATCCTTGTGAACTGTGTGATAAATCCTTCAGAACCACCAGCCAGTGGGCCAGCCACACAAGAACCCACACAGGCGAGAAGCCCTGTTCCTGCTCTACTTGTGGGAAAGGTTTCTCCAGACGCTACGACTTGAACGTCCACATGAGAACCCACACGGGCGAGAAGCCTTTCTCGTGTCATATTTGCGGGGAACGTTTCATCAGGAAGATCACCTTCAACTTTCACGTGAGAGCTCACACAAAGGGAAAGCCCTTTGCCTGCGAGGTCTGTGACTCGTCTTTCAACTACAGCTACGATCTGGCTCGTCACATGAGGATTCACACGGGCGAGAAGCCGTTCCCATGCCTGACCTGTGGGAAAACCTTCAGGGAGCGAGGAAGTCTGAATGGACACATCCGAATTCACACGGGCGAGAAGCCCCATGTCTGCTTGGACTGTGGGAAAAGTTTTGCTCGAAAGCACAATTTGACTATTCACATGAGAACCCACACAGGCGAGAAGCCATATTCCTGCGATATATGTGGAAGGTCTTTCACTGACAACACTATACTGCTCAATCATGTCAGAACTCACTCAGGTGAAAAGTCTTTCTCATGTCCCTATTGTGGTAAAAGTTTCACCAAGAAATACACTTTGACTGTCCACATGAGGACTCACACAGGTGAGAAGCCGTTTTCCTGCGAGTCGTGTGGGGAAGCCTTCATTTCCAGAGGCAAACTGACTAAACATGTGTGTTAAATGAGCCTTCAGTGGGTTTTCCTTGCATTAGGAATGGATATCAAGCTTTGTTTACTCAAAATAGGGTAAAATATGATCTGGATTTGGAGTAACAGCACCACCTACTGAAAAAATAATTTTATTGTCACTGTTCATTATTCAGGAATTGATTAGTTGGAGAAAAAAAAATCAGATTATGGAGAAACATCTGATTTTTCTCCAGACTTTTTCTTGTCTTCTGTTTTCTAAAAAGCAAAAATGTTATTAATGCTTAATAAATGTATTTATATTTGTTTAAAATTAATAGTAATTATCATTTTGGAATGACTGAGTGCACTTGTACAAAGCAACAGTAAAAAAATACCTTTTTTGGACTTCAGTCAAATTCAAATCCAGGTTAAATTGACAATAAATTAAAGTATTTTTTCTCATTTTTATGAACAAAATAAAGGTACCAAAATTCACATGCTGCATTTTAGAGTTTGTGGCTGATATGAGAGGTTACATGTCTGCAGCTGAAGGTTCAGTTATATTCAAGTAGAATACAGGCTCATCTGTCAGAATGAAAACATGAATATAACCTTCAAGCAGATATTAAACATATTTTCATTAAGCCCACATTTATGTCTTTAAATGTATTTTTCTTGTTCTGATCTAATTTAAATGTCAAGTTTTTTTTATTTAAAATTTAAGTTTAATGTTAAGTGAAAAATTCTAACAGAAATAAAGGCTTTCAAGTGTTTGAATATTTAATCTACAGTGTTTGACATGAATGAATGAATGTATTTTTCTTTAATATTCTGATTTATTAAACTCGACTGTATTTTCTTTATTCAACAGCTCGGAATGTAATAAATTTAATCTGTATAAAAAGAACTTTAATTGTCAGTTCCTTTGGAGTCCATGCTGCTCTGAAACATTTATTTTCTCCCACTGTTTGGTTTAATTACTCCAAATGAAACCGTAAAACCCTTTTCTTTAAAAACTTCGTTAGTAGGTAACTTCTGATAAATCATCAGTTAGGAAAATGTTTAAGTAAATGTATTATTTTGAAGACGGACATGTTTTCAATCATTAAACATACTTTATCTTTTTTCTGTTTTATTACAAAACAGCATAAGTGTAACTGACATTAAATATCATCTGTTAATCCTTTCATTGGTGAATAATACAAATCATCTCACCTTGAATGTGTGATTGGCTTGTTTCTGTTGCATCTGTAATCAATTATGAGACTAACTGAAATATTTTATACACTAATATTAAATAATGTACTATACAAACTCCTATAACAATCTTGCAATTGTTTTGGACTCTATGATCTTCTGACTCTTCTAACTCATTTTCGACCACTACTTTTTTCTTCATTATTTTGTATTAACCAATCACTCCTCCCTTATTTAACAAAAATAATTTGGAAATTACATTTATTTATTTAGGCTAACTTTGCATATAACAGTGGAATAACAACTATTCGTGCGGTAGAAACTAACAATAATATAGAAGGTCGCACAGGGTTAACTGGGTAGGTTGTTGCTGTCATGACGCGTGTTCTAATAACTTCAAGTGGCTCCTTTGTGTTGTTGTTACCATCAATTTATTTTATATATCAGCTTAAATACTTAAGAACTGACACATGCTGACCAGGCTAAATCATAATGATACTAAGAATAAACAATATTTAACACGGTCAACAGAAATTATGACTCTCCACCCGGTGCACCCGTTTCCTTCATACACTGACCACCGTCAGTACGGCTCTCATTCATACTAAGTGACAGTCACGCCCACTTACGACACACCCACCATTAACTGTCACAGCTGTGCCACAAGTAATGCTCATTTAGGTCATTTGGCTCTTACATACCGGCCCCTAATTATTATAAAGATAATTATCCATCATATTAACATTATAAGAGCCAAGCCTCGGCAATAAATGACCATAAATTTACTCAATATCAAATTCATCCTAATCTATTCTTCTTGAGTAAGCAATCGATTAGAAAGAAAGTCACTAACAATCCTAAAAAGGGAGAGAAAAGGTTATTAAAATGTTCATGGTATCTCCGCCTCCTGAAGCAGACACAACTTGGTAATGGGTCTTTCCAGGTAGTTTGTCTTAGTCTTGATGCGAACTGATCGCACAAGTCCTCCTTTATCAGGAACAATGTTCACAACTCTTCCCATTAACCAAGAGTTGCGTGGAGCAGAGTCGTCCACGATGAGGACAACATCTCCAGGAATGAAGTTCCGTCTTGTTCTTTGCCACTTCTGTCGCTCTTGTAGTTGAGGCAAGTACTCCTTTGACCAACGCTTCCAGAAGAGATCCGCCATATATTGCACCTGTCTCCATCTTCGCCGAGCGTATACATCATTCTTGGAAAACACTCCTGGTGGTAATGAAGGTGTAGTCTTTAGAAGAAGAAGATGATTTGGAGTTAGTGCTTCCAGGTCTTGAACATCAGTTGATGCTTTGGTTATAGGTCGACTATTGATAATGGCCTCAACTTCGCAGAAAACTGTATGAAGACTTTCTTCATCAAGACTCTGCGTCCTTAAAACAGAATTTAACACCTTTCGCACAGACTTAATAAGACTTTCCCATGCACCTCCATGGTGTGAGCCAGTAGGAGGATTGAAAGACCATTTTATTCCTTTCTGAAGGAGAGTGTTACTGATCAGAGTTTGATTCCATCTTTCAATTTCTTCCCTTAATTCCCGTTCAGCTCCTACAAAGTTGGTTCCATTGTCTGAACGCAGCTCCAACACTTGACCACGTCTGGCAATAAATCTTCGTAGACCATTGATGAAAGAATCAGTATCCAGTGATGACAACATCTCAAGGTGAACCGCTCTTATTGCCATACACGTAAAAATGACTCCATATCGTTTTAACAGGCTCCTGCCACGCTTAATTTCAAAGGGACCAAAACAATCCACACCCACACAAGTAAATGGGGGTTTGTCTGGATACACTCGTTCCTGTGGAAGGTCTGCCATCCTTTGAATTCCTGGTGTGGCATGGAGTCGTCGACAAGTTATGCACCTTGATAGAGTCTTTCTGATTGCAACACTGGCACCTGGGATCCAATACTTTTGACGTAGTTCAGCGAGCATATGATTACGTCCACCATGGCCTGTCTGATGATGTATATGGCGCAGTAAGATTTCAGAGATGTGAAGATCTTTAGACAATATGGCTGGATATTTGGCTTCAGCTGGCATAGCTGCTTTGCTTAGCCTTCCACCAACTCTCAATACACCACCTTCAAGAATAGGATTAAGCTTGTAGAGCTGACTTGTTTTCTTCACACTTTCATGTTTTTGCAAACTTGTTATTTCTTCTGGATATCGTTGTCTTTGACAATAACAAATGATGGCACTCTCAGCTTTCTCAAACTCCTCTACTGTTAAGGCCCAATGCAACATCTTTCTTGTAGACATTCATTTCTTTCGTAAGCCTTTCTTGAAATTTTTCATCATCAAGATTGGAGTCTGCAAGTTCCAACTTCAGTTGTGCTCTCTTTTGAGCCAGTTTGGAAAGCAATTGTTTGAACCTGAGTAGCCACCCAACCATTGTTTTTAGTTTGTTCCAAGAGGAAACTGTATGAATAAAATCCATAATTGGATCCACTTGCTCATTAAGGCATGTTGCATTAACAGAAACCAATGTCTTGACCTCTGGATCTTCTGGATCCTCCTGAGCAAAACGACTTATGCACTCAGGATTTGTAGGCCATTTCCATTCAGGATTATGAAGAAACTTTGGTCCAGACATCCAGGTATTTGTCTTGAGAAAAGACTCCACACTTGTTCCTCTGGATGCCAAATCTGCTGGGTTCATACTGGTAGCAACGTACCTCCACTGCAAGGGATTTGACAAATTGAGTATCTCTCCAACTCGATTTGTCACAAAGGTCTTGAACCTCAATCTTTCATTGTTGATGTACTTCAAAACTGAAGTACTATCAGTCCAAAATACTGAGTCTTTCAGTTCCATTCTTAACTCCTTCTTCAACAGCTTATCCATACGGCTGGCAACCACTGCAGCAGTCAACTCCATTCGAGGGATGGTGATTGGTTTCAGTGGAGCTACACGAGCTTTACCCATTACAAATGCACAATGCACCTGTCCATCAGCATTATACTGCAACAAGTAGCTCACTGTTCCATATCCATTCTCACTTGCATCACTGAAATGATGAAGCTGCAAATTTGTGGCTTGTCCAAAGTCCTGTGGTTTCAAACATCTGTTAACTTCAAATTGTTCAAGCTGATGAAGTTCTTCCAACCAGTTTTTCCACTTCTGTAACACATCATGCGGCAAAGAATCATCCCAGCCAACATGTCTTCTGCTTAGGTCTTGTAAAATCCCCTTTGCGACCAAAACAACTGGTGCCAAAAAGCCAAGAGGATCGTAGATGGAACTTATGATGGACAAGATTCCTCGTCTTGTCAGAGGTCTATTTTTGAGAATGATCTTGAATTTCAGCAGGTCTGATTGTACACACCACTGTACACCCAACACACGTTCCACAGGTAGATCATCATTTTCCATATCCAGGTTCTTCACCTCAATGGATCTTTCATGCTGTGGTATTGCAGTAAGAACACTGCGTCGGTTGCTTATCCATTTGAGAAGTTGAAATCCACCTTTCTTGCACAAATCACGAAGTCCTTGATATAATGACACAGCTTCTTCTTCTGTGCTCACAGAAACCAAACAGTCATCCACATAAAAATTGTGAAGCACAGCATCTATAACATTAGATGGAAACAGTTGTATGTTATCCTCTGCACACCTTCTCAGTGCAAAACATGCACAGTTTGGAGATGATGTAGCTCCAAAAGGATGTGCAACCATTCGGTATTCCACCAGCTGCTGCTCATACTCTCCATTCGGCCACCAGAGAAATCTCAACAGATCCGAGTCAGATGGTGGTACTCGGACCTGATGAAACATGGCCTCAATGTCTGCTGTTATAACAACAGGTTCCTTTCTGAATCTGATGATGACACCAACCAATGAACTGGTGAGGTTTGGACCTTGTAAGAGTTGAGTGTTTAAAGATGTTCCTCCAAATGTAGCACCACAATCAAACACAACTCTTATCTTCTTCTTGTGAGGATGATATACTCCATGATGTGGTATATGCCAAACCTTCTCATCACACCTTTCAAGATTTTCAACTGGTACTTTCTCAGCATAGCCCTTGGAAATTATATCATTCATGAAGTTGGTATAGTCAGAAAGAAATTGATGGCTTTTAGTAAACTTCCTTCTGAGATTCAAAACGCATTGTTCTGCCATTTTCCTGTTATTAGGCATTTTCAGATCTTTGTGTCTCAGAGGTAGAGCAATGGTGTAACGTCCATCTTGCAGCTTAATTGATTCTGTAACCCGCTCCATGAACTGAATATCTTCTCTGGACCATCCAGGTTGTTCATCTTTAGAACATTCAGGAAAATCAACCTTCAGTTGTTGTTGCCACAAGTCCTCCAGTTTTGACACAGAAATCCTGTTAACAGTAACAGTTGATTTTAGCTCTCTTGTGTCAACATCACAGTCTCCTCTGAGAGGTCCATTCACTGTCCATCCAAGAATCGTCTTAACTGCATAGAGTCCTCCATTTTGACTCCGAATGACATCCCATGGCTCAAGTACTTTAGGCACATTGGTTCCAATGAGCAAATCAACTCCTGAATTTATTTCAGTGATCTTCAAATTTTTCAGATGTGGCCATCTTTCGATGTCTTCTTGGTGAGGAATGTTGTTATAATGAACAGGCATGTTTCTCTGTGTGAATAAATCAGGTAATTCACAAAAGATGTCTTCATTCAGCCCAGCAATCTCCAAATCTGACACAATGTTGCTTTCAACCACCTTTTCTTGACCCATTGTTCGTAAAAGGATGCTTGTATGTCTCCCAGTGACATATAATTTGTTCATCAATTCTTCAGTACAGAATGATGCAGAGCTTCCAGGATCCAAAAAAGCATATGTTATTATTGTCTTTTGGCTTTTTGTAGACTTCACTCTGACTGGTAAAATAGAGAGAGTACAACTGAGATCACCGGCCCCAGTTAGACCACTGGATTGGGCAGAAACGGAGGCACTTCCACTTGTTGTCTCCACTTCCTTCTTCTTATGAACTGGAACAATTTCCTTTTCTTTAGAAAAGACATGTAACATGGTGGGATGTCTTAAGCTACACACTTTACAGTAGTGTCGCCTTTTACAATCTTTGCTGATGTGCCCAGTGCATAAACAGCCAAAACACACCCCATTTTCTTTCAAAAATGTCAATTTCTCCACATGTGTCCTCCTTTCCAGTAGAGGGCATGTGTCCAAGGAATGTCCAGCTTCACAAAACAAACAACTCCTTTTAACAGTTGTCTCCTGTCTTTTCTTTACTTCAAGGTCAGCTTTCTTCTGCATATCTCCAACAATAGTAGCGAAACTACTTCCTTTTATCTTTGATCGCTGTTGTGATTTATAGATTCCAACATCCTTCTTTGGTCGAGATAAAGAATCTTGAATATCACCAAAAAGTGGATCACTGGCAATCTTCACTTGCCTTTCTACAAACTGAACAATGTCACTGAAAATTACTCTTCTATTAAACTTCTCCTGTAAATCACACACATCATTTCTCCATCTGTCCCGCAGTTTAAAGGGCAGTTTTTTGATAATTGTTTGCATATTAGCAGGAACGTCCAACTCATGCATACATCCATTGTTTTCCATCACATTGCAGCATTCCCTGAGCAGAAAGCTGAATGCTTGTAAAGCCTTTGCATCCTCTGCTTGCAAAGCAGGCCAAGATAAGACCTTATTCATGTATGCAGCAATTATCTTCAATGAACAACCGAAATGCTCTTGAAGCAAAGCTTTAGCTTTAGCATATCCAGAATCATCAGGCATATGAACACAGCTTCTTACTAAGTCATGAAGCTGACCTCTGGTATACTGCTCCAAGAAGTATAAACAGTCTTTGGCACTGTGCGCTTTTGTTTCAATACTGTGTTCAAACGCTGTCATGAATGTCTTAAATTGGAGTGGATCACCATCAAATATTGGTATGTCCCGTTTTGGCAGAAAAAATAAAGATTGTTGATTTACAAGCAAGCTTGTAATTTCATTCTGTCTCTCCAAAACACTTAACAGTTGTTTATTTTCATCAACTGGCAATACATTTTTATATTGTGATGGTTGTAACTGTACTTGATGAAACATTTCTTGTGTTGGAACTTCAACTGGTGCTGTTTATCTTCACCTGGTCAGTCAATGTGTCTGAAATTTGTTTAACCTTTGTGTCTTTAGGTCGTGCACCCAAATAAGAATATAACTGAAAGTCTGGAGCTTTATTATGACAATCAGTTCCAGCTGCTGTAGGTACAAATGTATCTGCATCAACATTCAACATTTGAGATCTTTTATTTTCATGCTCCAAATATGAATTCATGCCATCAGACTTATTCTGTGCAGCACTAGATACTTGAGAACAGACAGAGCCCTGGAACACTTTAACTTTAGCCATTGAGGCTGCAATTTCAACCTCCAAATCCAGTTCTTCTTTCTTTTTTTTAGCCGTTCCTCCTGTTCCTCTAAAGCATGTTTCTGTTTCAATAGCTTGTGTTGTGCCTTTAATGCAGCCATATCTGCTTCTGCTTTAAAACGAGCTGAAGCTGTAGAAGACAGAGAGGACTTAATTCTTGATGAACGACTTCCTCTAGACTTTCTGCTATCAACATTAGAAACACTGTAACTTGGCTTAATATCATCCACATCATCAGCATTGTCAACACACTGTAAATGCTGAGAAACTAAAGGTGCATTAAGCTCTTTATTCACACCAGGTTCAAAACTGGACAATTGAGCCTGATTGAAATCAGCTTCTCCACCCATTTGAGCTGCATTGTTGATTCCTGCACCTGAGAGCCACTTTTCAACTTCTTGTACAAATACAGAATTATATTTACACAGGCTTAAAAACCAAGTGTTTTGTCTTTCTTGTTCTTCAGCAGGAAACAATGGAATAACAGACTCATACAGCTGATTTGCATTTTCAAGCAATAGTTTTAAATCATCACAATGAGACTGAACACTCTCAAGATTTCCTTCATTTCTCATAAGTTCTTTTATAATGTTTATTTCTCCTTTAATTTTATGAACCTTTGTCTTGAGATCCTTTTGAAGTTTCTCAATTTTATTTTGTAATGCTTTGACAGTTAATTTTGATGGTCTTTTTTCATCTTTACCGCTGACAACTGAACTTGTTTTAGATCCAGTTGACTCCATTTCTCGTTGTTTGTCTTTAACAATTCTTCTTCAGACAACGATACTCAGTGTGTGTATGTGTCCATACCTCAGTTCCAGCGGACTTGATTACGCTGCAATGAAGGAATCTCATTCAGTTAATTGATGACGCTGATCTGCGCTTCATGCGCCATTACCGTTCCAAACTGTTCCAAGCAGAAGCGAAGAATCCAAACTTTCTTTCCATAAGCCGCTCATTCAATTGTCATTTTCTGTTGACGATATTCGTGCGGTAGAAACTAACAATAATATAGAAGGTCGCACAGGGTTAACTGGGTAGGTTGTTGCTGTCATGACGCGTGTTCTAATAACTTCAAGTGGCTCCTTTGTTGTTGTTGTTACCATCAATTTATTTTATATATCAGCTTAAATACTTAAGAACTGACACATGCTGACCAGGCTAAATCATAATGATACTAACAATAAACAATATTTAACACGGTCAACAGAAATTATGACTCTCCACCCGGTGCACCCGTTTCCTTCTACATAGTGACCAGCGCGTCAGTACGGCTCTCATTCATACTAAGTGACAGTCACGCCCACTTACGACACGCCCACCACTAACTGTCACAGCTGTGCCACAAGTAATGCTCATTTAGGTCATTTGGCTCTTACAACAACCTTTATTTAAGGGGCACATAATTTAAATTTTTTACTTTTCTGCCACTTCATAAACTTTTGACAGATGAAAGGTGAGCGTTATCATGTAATAATGTTCTGCTGATAATTGGTTTGTTGTAGTGAATGTGGAGAAGACATGCCAAATTAAAGCTGAGAAAGATGAGCTGTTTCTCGTTTTTATGATACACATTTTTTGAAAATTTACTGGCTATTTTTGCTTCTTTTCTGTGGAATATATAAATTAGTAAATTATTAATGACAGTTGAAAATGTTTTTTGTTTGAATGCTAAATTATGTAACACAAGCATAAAATTGATACCTATATAAGAGATCTTTTAACAATGTCTCTTATTTATTGAAATATTTTTGTCTGATAGTATTTTGTTATTGTCGATCCGGTACTGACCACAGGATGGCGGTAGTGCTCCATCTCAGTCGGTTTACCAACCACAAGCAGAAACGCTAAATCTAAGGTTGGTGCGGTTCTGCTCATCATTGGAAGACGTTAAACATAATCACCTCTCATTTCAAGTGCGGACATAATTTCTAGGATTCTTTTAATACAGATTTATCTGTTTTATCAGCAACAGTAGCGTGAGAGCGGCTAGTTAGCATCCGAGCTAAGGGAGAAGCTAAGTGTTCGAGGAGAAGAAGCATTTTCCTTTTAAAGGCACAGGAGCTGAGAAAACTGCCACATTTTCAGACACCGGATCGTTTCGAGGATTTTCCAGAGGGACAGAGTCGAGTTTCACCGGTAAGAAAGCCGTTATTGGCGAGCGGTGACGAGCTAACTGCGGCCTGTCTGCGCTGCGGCAGCACGTCAGGCTGTCCGCCATATTGGGAGGGGAAGATGTACCGCCATTAAAAGCATTATAAACCTTTTTATTTCACAAACATGTAAAGATTTGATAAATTGAAACATCATTTGTACATCAATTATCTATTTTTCTACACCTTTCATCGTTTAACTTTGATTCAATATTTTGACCATAAAATTCAACAAATATATTCACAACACATACACATATAAGGCCCTTATAATATATGCAGGGATGGACAAAAATGAGTTGCAGTTTCTTGAGTAAGTTTTTCACCATATTGTTCTTGAATCAGTTGAATCAGCAGATGTTGGCTCCATTCAGCTTCCAGGTTGATACCAGTTGGAGAACAGCTCTTAAAGTACTACAGTTTAAATTTTAACTGTAACAGTTTTCAGTTCAAAACAAACAACAGTCACCAAAATCTCAGACCTCTAAGATCTAATCTCTCCACAGCATCAAGTAATGAAACAAAAGACTCCTTGCTGCTGTACAAAGTGATGTGTTTGGTTTCTCAGTGATTCCAGTGCACTGCTGTTTTAGTGCACTTACCTTTGCCTTGATGCATCAGGGCAAAGGTAATATTTATATCAATTCAACTTCATTTAGGGTTAGATGATAATGCATCTTTTTAAAAAGGTGTAAAAGCTTTACAGCTCTGTCAGCAGACAAAAGTGCTGCAGATCTCTAACATCCACCTGAACTTTTCCATCATTGTTGAGTTTAGGAATAAAACTCTGCTTCAACAGCAGAATCACCAGAAACCTTTCTGGTGTTTCACTTTTATAAACTGTTAATGTTTGACTAACTTTTATCTTTATTGGTTTTAAAGTTGGTTGAGTTAACGTTGACCATTTCCTCTGAACTTCACATTAAAGCTGATGCTCTTCTGTTTTCAGGCCTTCCACTGCATCATGTCGACTTTGGAGCAACTCCAGTGTTGACCACAGCAGGAAGCAGAACCCCAGCTGATGACGGGGATTAAAGAAGAAACAGAACCTCAACCAACGAAAGAGGAAGACGTTGAGCTGTCCATCTTTCAGGATGAAGGAACATTTGCGGTGAAGCAGGAGGCCAGCAGCTTCCTGGTGAATCCTGCACAGCTCCAGCAGACGATGGAGACTAAAGAGGAACCAGAACCTGTAGAGGTTAAAGAGGAACGCTGCAGTGATCAGACTGAAGATCACCTTGTAGTGAAGCAGGAGGCTGAAACCTCCATGGTGTCTCCTGGTTGTGAGCAAAAAGACAACAGTAAACCAAGCAAGAACCAACAGCAGCAAGGAAGCAACCAGAAAGACTCTGGATCAAGTGGAGAAAAAGATCTGAAGGCAGACAGGAGACATCAGGACACCAGAAATCACAAGGACGACGTGGACAAGTCAAAACCAAAGAGAGAAAGGAAAAAACTGCCTACTTGTGAAATGTGTGGGAAAAGTTTCACTCAGCTCAGGTATCTAACTGCTCACCTGAGAACGCACACAGATGGGAAACCATTCAAATGTGCGACTTGTGGAAGAGGTTTTATTAAGCAGAATAACTTGACTAAACATGTCAGGATTCATACGGGTGAGAAACCGTACCCCTGTGAATTCTGTGATAAATCCTTCAGAACCAGCAGTCAGTGGGATAGTCACACAAGAACCCACACAGGTGAGAAACCCTTTTCCTGTCCCACTTGTGGAAAATGCTTCTATAGGCGCTTTGACATGACCATCCATGTGAGAACCCACACAGGGGAGAAGCCGTTTTCATGTCCGATTTGTGGAGAGCGATTCATCAGAAAGACCACCTTTAAAATCCATGTGAGAGCTCACACAGAGGAGAAGCCGCATGCCTGTACGGTCTGCGGCTCGTCCTTCAGGCTTGGCTACGACCTGGCTCGTCACATGAGGATCCACACTGGCGAAAAGCCATTCTCATGCCCGACCTGCGGGAAATGCTTCAGGGTGAGAGGCAGTTTAAATGAACACCTGAGAATTCACACAGGTGAGAAGCCTCATCTGTGTTTGACCTGTGGAAAAAGTTTCACCCGGAAGCGTAATCTGATGATTCACATGAGAACCCACACGGGCGAGAAGCCGTTTTCTTGTGATGACTGCGGTAAATCCTTCTCTGACAACACTGTGCTGATCAATCACATCCGAACCCACACAGGCGAGAAGCCCTTCTCATGTCCTGTATGTGGAAAAAGTTTTGCTAAAAGATACACCCTGACGGTGCACATGAAGACGCACACACGTGAGAAGCCGTTTTCCTGCCAGTCGTGTGGCGAGGCTTTCACATCAAGACGTAAACTGACTAAACATGTCTGCAGTTAATTACTCGAACACCTGCAAACATTAGCATAATGGATAAACCACTTTCTGTGCTTGGAGTGCTACTGCTATCTGATCAGTGCGGCAGAACATCTTCATCACCTCATCATGACTAGAGCAGACGTTCTCCAGGACCTTCGTGGTCAGCTCCACCACATTGAGTTTCTTAAAGGGAGCTGAGTGTTTTTCTCCCAGACAGAACGAACAGGACCTGAAGGCTTTCAGCTTCCTCCCAGTGCAGGAATCACAGGCCACATCTTCAGGTCCAGCAAGCGGCTGCTGAGTCCGGATCTGAGAGCAGAAAGGAGAACGACACTTTGGATCCAGGAAGAGGAGGGCTGTAAAAGTCATGAAGTTTCTAGTTTAATCATCTTCACAATGAAATGACTGAGTCAACCAAACCTCAGCTCGTTAAACTGGATCTCTCCACACTTATCAGAAAACAAAACAAAGCTCCATGATTGAGTTTAGGAATCAAACTCTGATTCATCAACAGAAAATCCAGAACATTTTCAGAGTTTCATATTTGTAAACTATCAATATTTTTACTTTTATTGCTTCACAAAAACTTGAGATGATTTAGACCAGGTGAGCTCAAGTCCAGTTCTCTAGAGCTGCCATCCTGCAACTATCAGATGCTTCCCTGCTCCAACACACCTGAATCAAATGAATGACTCGTTACCAGGCCTGTTCAGAGCTGAGCCTGGTCTACTGGAGTAAGGCTGCAACTAAAAGTTGCAGGACGGTAGCTCTCCAGGACTGGACTTGAGCACCCCTGATTTAGACGTTGCAGTTTTTTCTGTTATCTGCTCAATATTGATCAGAGGGAGTAAAACTGTTCAGTCTAGAAAACATTTATTCTGCAAAGCACTGAGTGCAAAATATCAGCTTCGATCTGTCAATCAGGTCCAGTGATGGGTTCGAACTGCATCTACCAGAGAAGCTATTGGGGGAAAAAAATCTAAAGTTTAGCTTTTTTACAGCTTCCTGTGTTTTGTAATTAATGGTTGTGGCTAAAATATGAAATATTCTAATATTTTGTCCAGTAGGCTATTACATAAAATTAATATTTTGTCTTTAAAACAAATAGTTAGCTTATCTTAAAGGAAAATTTAAATCAAATATCAAAATATTGATATTGCATGATTATCATGGAGGAGAGAAGGAGAGACTGATGTCCACAAACAGTCAGCAGTGTTTATATATAGACTGTATGTGATAAACAGTCTATATAGATAATATACCCCCCATAACATATATTATTGATAATATATATATTATCAATAATCTATATACAGTGATAAAATAAGTGTAACAATGAAACATTGTTGATTTCATGTCTATTACAGACATGATACATGCTAAGATATTACATGATAATAATCTATATTGTGATCGGCATTAAGTATACCCATTTATTTTATCATTTATTTATAAAATAAATTATTTTATTATCATAGTTTATGCTTTAGTCTGATTTCATATTTATCCAAGACTATGATGATGTTTGAAATTATGTGATTTATTATAACATTAAATGTCATGTAAACATTTATTTATATGATGTTCATTATTATTATTGTTATTATTATCATTGCAATAATTGTTACATTTGAACTATAATGTTGTGATGGAAGCACAGAGACACACAAGACAAACAACCAGTCACACACACACACACACACACACACACACACACACACACACACACACACACACACACACACACACACACACACACACACACACACACACACACTCTCTCTCTCTCTCTCTCTCTCTCTCTGTCTCTCTCTCTCACAGTCATAATAACTTTGTTTTCCTTCAGTCTTGAATATAAATTGAATCTATAGGAATTTGTTGCCTTTCTTTGTTTCTTGGTTTAAGTGCTGATTAAATTGACCCTGAAGTTCAGAGCCTTTTCTTTTTCTCATCCTCATGGTTGGTAAACTTTGATTTGGTCCCAGGTTCCATTTTTTCTTTGACTTTTAGATCCTGAATATCTCTCAGGTAATGTTTCCGAATCTCCTGCAGCTCTTCCACCGTATTTTCAGCCTTGCTGTAATCGCGGAGCAGCTCAGTTTGACGGGACAGATCGTCTTTTAGGACATGAAGATGTTTTTCTAGCTTTGTGTTCAGTTTTTTCAGCCTTTCCTTCTCTTGTTTTGCACTCTCGTTGATATATTTCAAGACAGGCTTATCAATTAACTGTTGTTCAATACTATAAAGCTCTTGTAAACATTCAGTCGTCTTTCTTTTTACTTTCTCCAATGTTTTACCTTTTTCTCTGATTTTCTCCTTCCAAGCCCAGCAGTAATCCTCATGATTCTTCATCTCTTTCACAACATTTTCTTTAACCTTCATCAAGGTTTCGACTGAATTCTTAGTCTGTCTGTGATTATGATGCAGTGCATTTTGATATGAAAGTTTGTCTTTCAGTACTTTAAGGTTTTTTAGCAGCGCTGTGTTAAGTTTTATGAGCCTTTCTTGCTCCATTTTGGACGCTTTGCACTGAGATTCTAACATCTCTTTCTGGATTAATTCCTGCTTCATCCTTTTTGTCGTCTCTAAATGTTCAAATGCCTTTCTCTCTAAATTTATCCGTTTTTTTTCTTCTGCTTCCCAGATATCTAACTCCAAATGTAATTTCTCACGCTGTTTTTCACAAGCTTCGCTCAACTTCATCTCGGCTTTCTTCAAAGTTTTGCAATCTGGTTTCTGGAACTGGCGGTCCTTGACGTTCTGAAGCTTTTCGTTCATTTCCATGAGTTCTTGGACCGCCGCCTCATTCGTTTTCCTCATTTCTTCAGGATCCAAGGAAGCAGATTCCTGCCTTTTCCTGAAAAAGTTCAACATTTTGAGATTTTTTTTGTTTGAAAAGGAAAACTTGAGAGCAAAACGAAACGCAGATCAGAAAGCTGAGAAATTGTAAGCAGAATACAGAGAATCAGAATATCAAAGGCATCTGTGACATCATTGATGACATCATGTGTGCTGAAGCTGCATTAAAATATTAGTGAGCAAAAGACCAGACATCTAAATGACTTTGTGTTTAATTGGGAGGAAAAGCAAAGATTAAAGTGAAGGATGTGGAGGGAAAGACAATGTTCCTCAGCTGGTTGCCTCGAAGGCGACAAAGAAAAGGAAAGACTAAATTTGTCCTTTTATGCTGAGTGTAAATATTTCCCAGTAGAAGAGCCAGACTACGACCGGCTATTCAAAATCAAACCAGATAATCACGGCTTGTTTCCATCTGCTGCTGTGGCACCATCAGCAAAGACCTCGATGGATTTCCACGTACAGACAAGAACTATTTTATCAAGCGGACGGAGAGGGGCGACATGCGCTGGATTTGGAAAGACAGCCTGTTTCTGAAGTGGATGGACGTCCGGAGGCGTGAATTTAAAATACCTTTAAACCAGTTGAAAAAAGGAATTCCTTTAAAACAAGGCTGGTTAAGTTGCCTTCAGTTAATATTAACTGGGGAAAAAAAATAATCTGAATTTAAATCATGTTGTACTTGTTGACTTGAGAAAACCTCCTTGAAGTTTAATCTCTAGCCAAACAGCAAAGGTACATTTAAAATGTTTTAGAGTGACAGTCTGACTGAAGTGTTTCAGGACTGGACCAAGAGTACTCTGGATTGGAAATCAGAATAAAATTAAATGCAAAACTTCTGTAGAAAAACAAACGTTCATGTTTGAAGGCGGAACCTTGAGCACAGTTCCTGTTTCTGGTGTAAGTCTTCGTGTGAGACATCCGGCGGAAGTAAATAACAGGGCGCTAGCAGCGTTAGCTTCCAGGCTTCCTTCAGTTTTTCGCTGTTTATAAGGCGGTTTGTGCTGCGTGAGCGGAACCTTCCGGTGTTTTGGGTGATTAATGTCAGTTTGAGCGTCAGGCGGGTTCCTGATACCAGCTGGAAAACCCAAATCATCTCAACCTGCAGGTGCGTGAACTGCCCGGTTCTGAATGAACACAGGAATGCAAACAGTATGACCAAACTCTAGCTCAGGTAACAAGACGAGTCAGTTCATTGATCAATTTAGTGTCGTTAATCGACATATTCCACAAGTTCATATTTTTACATAGGAGAAAATGTCGGCAGTTCAACAACTTTTAAAACAGAAGCTGCCGAACTGAAGGTTTCCATTGAATATTTAGCTTTTTGTTGAGATTGAAATAAACTAGTATGTTGTTGTGACTGGAGCTCAAAACTCCACATCTGGAAGCTTCTTTGCCCCGCAAGAACGTAACGTCTTTAGGTCCGCCATCTTGGGAGTGGCAAACTGTCCTGAGGAATCCAAAGTGAATCTGCTTATTTTTCACAAATGGTTTTCATAACTACGATGTGAATGCTGAGTCAGATTGTTAATTAATGACACATTTCCTAATTTAATCATGACGCATAAAGACAGTCCAAACAGTCTTTTGCAGTTGCTCTGCAAAGTTGTAAAAGTGTGGGGTGTGCAAGTCGACAGGGTTATGTTCTAAGTCTAATTTTAAAAGACTGCAATTAAATTATGACATATTTTTCACATGTCACATTTTAGTTCAACAAATATAGGAATATAACCTAAAATGAAATCATAATTCTGAATTATGATTTCACAATTAGAAAAGCATAATTGTATATTCAATTACACTTTTTCTTTGGTCACAGATTTCAAGAGTTTATTTTATCATCTCTTGCGTTTTTCTTATCCTGCCATTTTGTGTTGTTGTTTCTGCTGCTTAGTGTGGTATTTGGAAGTGCTGGTTGTAATTAGTTCTTTTTCATCCCACATTGTCTTGGATGAAAAAGACAACTAAACACAACACACAATTTTGTGTTGTAAAAAAAAAAATGTTCTTCATTAAACAGTTACTAATCTCCTATTTTTGACTTCCTCAGGTCTTCCACAGCATCATGTCGGTTATTACTTGGGAGGTTGATGCTGATCACATTCTCATTAGCAAGCAGAGGTCAAGTTCTCTGCTTGACCATGATTTACCAAACGGTCTGGAAATAAAAGAGGACCCAGAACTCCAGGCGACTGAGACAGAAGATCCAGAACCTCGAGTGATTAAAGAAGAACAGATTGAGTTGTGCATCTTTCAGGATGAAGGGCAGGTTTTGGTGAAGCAAGAGGCTGAAACCTCCACCTCCATTGAGAATCCTGCTTATGGGGAAGCATTTCAGAACGGACCAGAGCAACAGCAGATGATGGAGACAAAGGAGGAACCAGAGCCTGTAGAGATCAAACAGGAGCAGGAGGACTTCTGTGGTAATCAGGAAGAAGAACAACCAAATGTTTTTGAGTTTTGTGGTAATTCTTTAATGCAGCATAATGAGTTGGCTAATCACATGACACCTCAAGCAGAAGACAAACCTTTCTCCTGCTTGACCTGTGGAAGAGGTTTCAACAAGCAGTACAACTTGACCGTCCACATGAGAACTCACACAGGTGAGAAGCCATACCCTTGTGAACTGTGTGATAAATCTTTCAGGAGGAGCAATGATTTGGCCCGTCACATCAGAACTCACACAGGAGAGACACCATATTCCTGTCAGTTTTGTGGAAAATCCTTTAACGACAACAGTCATCTCACCATTCACCTGAGAACACACACAGGTGAGAAGCCCTACTCCTGTGAAGTGTGTGGTAAATCTTTGACCGATAGCAGTCATTTGATCAAACACATGAGAACTCATACGCCTGAAAAGCCTTTCCCATGCCTGACATGTGGAAAAGGTTTCACTGCTCAATCTGACCTGACAGTCCACATGAGAACCCACACCGGTGAGAAACCCTTCACCTGTCTGATCTGTGGTAAAGGTTTTATCCAGAAAACTACCCTGAGTTATCACATGAGGACCCACACAGGTGAGAAGCCTTTTCCATGTGATCTGTGTGATAAATCTTTTATTCAAAGCAGTGATCTGGCCCGCCACCTCAGAACCCACACAGGGGAGAAACCATATTCTTGTGACTTGTGTGACAAATCTTTCAGACAGAGCAGCGATCTGGCTCGTCATATTAGAACTCACACAGGAGAGAAGCCATTCTCATGTCAGACCTGTGGAAAAGGTTTCACCAAGCAGAATAATTTGACTGTGCACATGAGGATTCATACAGGTGAGAAGCCGTATTCCTGTGAAGCCTGTGGGGAATCCTTCACTGTCAAATTTAGTTTGACTAAACACAAATGCAAAAATGCCAACCAGGAAGTTCTGCGATAGCAGAGCTGCTCTCACCTGAGTGAAGTTTCCCCCCCACCTTCTTCAAATCGGACTAAATTGGTGTCAAACAAAATGTTTTGCTGCACAAACATTTGACACCGATTTTGTTTTATTTCATAAAAGTGGGGGGGCTGGTAGACCTTTTGACCTTTAACATTTCATTAATATCTTCAAAGCCAAAGCTTTGAAGATATTACAAACAAAAAAATTTGCTGCCCAAACGTAGCACAAACACGTGACACCAATTTTGTGTGATTTGATGAAGGTGGGGGAGCAAACGTCACTCAGGTGATGCTCTCTGATTCATAGACTCATCAGGTTTATTGGTGTAGCACATTTCAGCAACAAGGCAGATCAAAATGATTTTCATGGTTAAAACATAACACAATAGTCAATTTTGAAACATGCAGCAAACTACATTGTTTCTAATCCATCATCAAAATCATCACACATAATCATCATCAAATATTTTAATACAGGGGGTTGAAGTTAACCCTCCTCTGTTGGTCCCAGGCAGGAAACCACTGCCTCTACTGGTGATCTCTGATTGGCCAAGAGGCTTCAATGGATGTTCTGATAGGCATGTTTATAAATCTCATCACAATTCATCCTTTTTAACAGGTATGTTTTTATTTTGCTTGGGTTTCATTTTATTACTGATTGCTGTATTTTATATCTGGAGATTATTTTGTAACTTGCATGTCATGTAAAGCAACTTTTAAAAATGTTATTTCAACAAAGCTTACAGCTTTATGTGTTGATACAACATGAATGAAGCGTTAAAATAAGGGTTTTTATTCTTGATTTGTCCTTCCTGAGTGTTAGAGGTGTCCTGCTTCAGATGATTAAAATATGTTGTGTGTGGATGATTAAACTATTTACATTCATTCTTTTTAATTGGTATTTTGTATTTTTTTTTTGTCTTTTCACTGACTTGTACATAATCCCCATCTCACAATCTGTACCCATTACTTTGATAAGTGTTGAGTGTGCATAAGTTTACATAAAACAGACCACAAGTATTTTTAAAAAATAGCAAAAACTAGTAATTCAAGTCAGTATTTTGTGTAGTGGTAATTCACAGCAAATATATCACAAGGTACTTTATAAAAAGTTATTTCAATAAACACAAACGCTGAGTTTGTTGGGATCAGAGAAGCAAGAGAAGGTTTAAAAACTAAAAACCGAGTAAAAAAGTATATTATACAAAATATTACAGGTCTTCCATATTCCATATTGGCATGTAAACCAGGACAGCTTGTTAATGAAACGTGGACAGTTTAATGAATTAAAAAAAAAAGATCTAATTTTAATAAGAATCTAAGTTCACCCACTGGTTTAAAATATGGTTGGAGAAAGTCTTCCAAAATATATAATTTACTTATGATAATTTGGTTAACTGTTTAATTTTGATAAAATTATTCACCATTTTGAAACTTAGAACATTGGAGCCACTAAACATTTTGTCATAAAAAATAAACATGAAATCGGAAACCAGGTTCAGTGTCGTGCTGAGGGCGGAACTGAAAATGCGCTCTTGTTTCTGCTGTGCAACTCCGCGTGGGACATTCACAGGAAGTAAACAACAGAAGGCTAGTAGCATTAGCTACCAGAGTTTCTCCTGTTTATCGTCAGTCAGAAAGCGCTTTGTGCTGTGTGAGCTGGATGGTTCAGTGACAGTTTCTTCAGTTCTTCATCAGACTCAGCAGCGAGTATTCAACATCTTAGGAGGAAGAGATCCATCATCAGCTCAGACTGCTGGTACCAGCTGGAAACCCCAACCAAATCAGCTCGGAACCTCCGGGTATGTAAACTATACGGCTCTGAATGAACTGATTCTGGAATACAGAGAATAAGTTCAGGGAACTAGTTGATACCGCGGATGATTATATGGTTGCGATGGCTGATGCTCGGGCAGCACGTCCTGTTTAGCTCAACGGAACCCTGATAACAAGGTACATTTATGAAGCATTAATGTACCTTATTTGAATATTTGCAATAGTTTTCTTTCAGATAAGTATGTTAATTTTACGTTTGATTGAGAAATGAGTCATGTCCATCACAGGGAGGCATTCAGGCCTACATTTGTTACTGAAACTGTTTTATTGTGACACACTGGATTAAAATATGCAAGCCAGTCAGATTTAAATCTGGGTTTTGAGTAGGCCGCTTCCAAATCTAGATTTTGTTTTGCTCAAGCAGATGTTCTCCTTCAGGATCTTCTGAAAGATACCAGAATTATAGTTGCATTTATTAACCCAAAATGTACGTAATTGTGGTGTAAAAAAATAAAAAAAGTGAACATTTACAGTTATTCTGTTTCACAAATCAGAACATTAGTTTTACAAAACCAATGTTAGTTAAAAACCAATGTCTAAACAGTGTTTCTCATTTTCTTTATAAAGAACACAAACATTATTTGCAAAGCTGGAAATCTAATTTTCAACATAAAAGAAAATCTACTTTTTGAAAATGACTTTCAGTTTAACTGAACACCAAAACATTTATCACATGATAAGCATCACAAAATTTAAAGCTTCTGCACTTGTCCATAATGATCAGGACCTTTAGTCATTTTTATTTATTCTATTTGTCACCAACATCTTCATTGAAATACTGACAGTTTTGGTGTCTACATAGTTTCATGTAGTTATCATTAAGGGAAATTAAATATGATAATTTATCCAAATATCTCAAAAGAGTTGTTGATGGTGATGCTGTGGATAGGAAGGATCTCCTATAGCAGGCAGTTTTGAAAAACAGCTGAAGTGTTTTTACTTTATTAGCTAAATGAGGCAGAATGAGGCCTGCAGAGCTTTAAATGCTTTAAATGTGTGACCTCCTGGATGAGTCTTTAATGAGTTCTTGGAGTTGTTTTAGGAGCCAGGTCTCCACTGTTCCTTATTTTCTCAATTTGAAAAAAGAAAAAAAAGATTCATTAAAATATTATCTACATTTTGTTTTTTCCCATTATCTATCAAAAAAACCTTTTTACAAAACTATTAATGTTGTGCCGTCCTTTCAGGTCTTCTGCAGCATCATGTCTGTTACTACATGGAGGGTTGTTGCCGATCACTTTCTCATAAATGAAGAAAGGAACTCTACTCTGGATCAAAAGATGTCAGACACTGTAGATTTAAACAAGGAACACGAGGAATCAGAACGACAGCAAATCAATGAAACGAAAGAGGAACCAGAACCTCAATCTATTACTGAAAAACAGGATGAAAAGTCACTTTTAGTGAAGCAGGAGACCAACACTTCTATAGTGAGTTCTGTTGACGAGCACATAGTCCACAATGTACCGGAGGTGAAGATAGTCCAGATTAAAGAGGAACAGAAGCAAATCTCCAAGGATCTGGATGGACATTTTGTAATGAAGCAAGAGAGTGACTCCTTAAGGTTGACTCCTAAATCTGACAAAATCTACCACCAAGAACCACAACTTGAAAATACGGAACCAGAGGAGCCAAAACAGATCATTGAGGTGACAGAGGAACCAGAAGCTTGGCAAGTAAAAGATGAACAAGTTGAACTCTACGTCTTTCAGGATGTAGGGGAAGTTTTGGTGAAACGGGATGCTAGTCGCTGTACTCAGATTCCTCCCGTAAATCAAAAAGACTCCAGTGAAACAATTAAGAATCATCGACCATCTTCTACGCCCCCTGAAGCTGAACACCAACAACAGCAAGTTATCAATCATCAAGGCTCCGGATCAAATAATAAAAGAATGCTGAAGGAGAAAAGACACAAAAAATACAGAAAACAAGGTGACAACATGGACAACACAAAGCTAAAAAGACATAAAAAAAAATTACCTTTATGTGACGTATGTGGCAAATGTTTCACCACTCGACAAATCCTAACCGTACATATGAGGACTCATACAGGAGAGAAGCCTTTTGCTTGCAAACTATGTGATAAATCTTTCATTAACAGCAGTAATTTGATTTGTCACATGCGAACGCACACAGGTGAGAAGCCTTTCTCCTGTGGGACCTGTGGGAAAGGTTTCCCCAGGCAACCTGCCCTGACTGCACACATGAGAACTCACACAGGTGAGAAGCCATATCCCTGTGAGTTGTGTGAAAAAGCCTATCGAGATCGTAGTAATTTGGTACGACACATGAGAACGCATACTGGTGAGAAACCTTATTCCTGTAAAGTTTGTGGTAAATCCTACAGTGGCAGTAGTCAGTTGGCTTATCACATAACAACGCACACAGGTGAGAAGCCTTTCTCATGTCTGACTTGTGGAAAAGCTTTCAACAAGCAAAGCACCTTGACTGTCCACATGAGAACTCACACGGGTGAGAAACCGTACTCCTGTGACATGTGTGAGAAATCTTTTCGAGAGAATAACGATTTGACTTGTCACATGAGGACGCACACGGGTGAAAAGCCATATTCCTGCGAATTGTGTGAGAAATCTTTCAGATGGAGAAATGTTCTCAATCGACACATGAGAACTCACAGATAAGATGCAATCTTGTCATGAATTATGTGATGAATTCTTTGCTGTCAGAAAACCTTTTTACAAAACTATTAATGTTGTGCCGTCCTTTCAGGTCTTCTGCAGCATCATGTCTGTTACTACATGATGCTGGTGAAAATACTACTTGTTACTTAGAATCAGAATCATTTCAGAATCAGAATACTTTTATTTTTATAACTTATTTTCAAAAGAGTCCAACCTCTATATTGGACTGTTTGGAGTTGCAGAACAGAATAATTTTGAATATTCAAAACGATTGAATAATCATTTTGTAAAAGCGCTTGAGTATATTTAAAACTAAAACATGGCTTTAAATCTGGAAAACTGTGTGACACTGAACAAATCCAAGCATTTTCTGATGTTAGTGGTATTTGTTGCTCATTTTATCATAGCCAATTACATAGTTTTATATATTTTGATGAATTTAAAAGTGATCATGGATCTGCTTCGTGCAATAATTTTCACATCAACAGCAGTTTCCCAGTCAAGCCAGCAGGTGTCGCCAGCGTTCAGCTGTCAGTTGATTCTACGGTCAGTTCTCTTGTATTTGTGTGCAGCTGTTGCTCATGATCCTCAAACTGCTTCTATTTGATTTATTTAATTCATAGAAACTTTATTTTTTGCATTTTCATCATTAAGCTTGGAATAAACTTGTTTATCTATGATGTGGTTTTTGTTTCCAGAGTCTAAAACTGGCTTTTATGTTCACCCACTGGTTCACTGATTTCTGTTTTTATTTGACCTTGATAATCCATCATTAATTTCATTAATTTTGAATGAAGTTTTGCTCATATAACTTAATGCTTAGCAAGTTGGGGTCAGTCTAAATCACAGAGGTGGGTCGTGACCTTTAGGTGAGGAATAAAAATAAAACACAAACAGAAGCTTGTTCAGGTCACTACAGTCTCAACTCATACAAATGTGGGAATAAACATGTTAATTTAAAATTACAATTAATAATTTATTATTCATTAAACTTGATAGTTTATTTGAATCAGGGCATCATTCCAGACTTGGAATAATCCATTCAACATGTCCGTTTCTCATGAAGGAATGAATTCAAGCAGAAAACAATGAATGATCACAACCCTCTGAACTCTAACAAGGTCTGGATATTTATTAACAAAATAGAAGAACATTACAGTTAAATTTAGAACACAAAGAGGATTTTCACTGTGAGGAAAGCACCATTTATTTATCTTCATGATACAAAATGAAAACTTCATCGTGTGTTGCTACAGTAGGTGGCGGTGTTCACCTGGAAGTTGCTGACTGTCGACCATAATAGAAAAGAAGAAGAAAATTTCCGGCGGAAGTAAACAACGCGCTAACAGCGTTACCTCTACAGCAGGCTGTCAGTAGTATTGATTATCTATTCTTTATATAATCTATATTATATAATCTATTCCACGGAGTCCTTATTTTAAGGCTGCCGCCATTTTGGATGTAGTTCTGTTTAGCCTCGTTGTTGTAACTGCTGCAGCTTCACTGCATCAACTTTAGACTAACGTGTCTATTAAACAAACTCTTCTGCTCAAACATAGTTATGACCCCTGACTCAACTGACATGACGTCACATGACGCAACGACTGACCAATCCGTGGTCTCAGTTTGAATCCAGTGACACGCCCCTTGCTGGAGGAACGGAAGCCATCTTTACCTCCGACAACATTGACAGGGTCCCTGGTTTGGTGTAAAATAACAGGGAATTATGATTAAACGTTGTCAGTGGGGAACGTGAAACTCCGACATGTACGGCAGTAACTACTTTATTTACATGTCAGCACTTCTTATTTTGCTGTTGGTTTTTTAGCATTTTCCTGAAGTCAAGCCAACAGACAGATTTCCAGATCCGGCTTCTTTTAATCCCAAAGCCTCCAAACCAGTCAGGCGGGATTGGGATCGGGATCAGGGACTGGGCCTGGGACTGGGACCGGGACTGGGACCGGGACCAGGACCAGGACTGGGACTGGGACTGGGACTGGGATCGGGACCAGGGACTGGGACCGGGACCAGGACCGGGACCAGGACCAGGACTGGGACTGGGACCGGGACCAGGACCAGGACCTGGACTGGGACTGGGATTTGGATCGGGACCAGGGACTGGGACTGGGACTGGGATCGGGACCAGGGACTGGGACTGGGACTGGGACCGGGACCAGGACTGGGATTGGGACCAGGGACCGGTGCCAGTACGACGGATCCCCAGCATCAAAACAAGAAGACACACTTAGTCACTTAGGATACATGAAGACCTGGTTTGATCCAAACCGTGATCCTTTGTAAGGTTGGCCGGAGTCACGGTTCACTGTTATGCCGGTTTCAAACATCAGCCGCTCTAATGCTGTTGGGGACACTGCAGAGGGGTCAGAGGTCACCGCAGGAGGCCGTGCTGATCTGTGATGCTGTTTAGCTGTACTGTGTTTCTGCTAATCTGTCTTCTGTTTTCTTGTTTTAAGTAGTTTTAAGGTATTTTTTCAGTACTCCATTTCATTTGCCATAGTTAGTTCATTAATCTTATTTTCCAACCAACTTTGTCATTAACTGTGTAACTTTCTTTTGTTTCCCATCAGTCGCTGATTGCATGTCGGTAGGCAGAGACTATTTAGAGATAATTCAGCTGTAAAGTTACTAAGTGAGACTGGTGAAAATACCTTCTAAGTGAAGATATTTTGTGAATAAATTCTCAGACTTTATTGGAAATAAGTGTCAGTGATGATTCTTCATATAAAGTTTCTTCTGCTTGTAGTTTTGAATTTATTACTTCACAAAATACTAATAAATTCTTCATGATGGCTCAAAGTTAACTAAACAATATGTAACTTAATAATTCCATAAATAATTATCAAAAAATGTTAATAGTCAAACATGGATCTAAATTGGTAAAAATATAAAAGTGAGAAAATGCACAATAAGAGTACATTTACAACACAGTAAACAGAGCAGTGCTCAGTCATTAACTGCTAACAACAGCAGGGATGTAAACGCTGAGTTTGATGGGAGCAGTGATGGATAGAAACTCAACAGCTGCTGGGAGGAAGGATCTGTGATGTCGCTCCTTTGTGCCGCCAGGATAAAGCAGTCTGTTACTGAAGGTATGATGATATTTCTGATGGGAAAGATCGACTCCATCGTCACTGCATGTGATGGGGCCAAAGCTGAAACCCAACTGGTTTGTTCTGTTTGGTGTGTCGCAGCAGTGACCTTCGTTTCATAAACATTACATCTTAATGTCTTTAAGGATTTTGTTTGGCAAAATAACTAATTTAGTTGTTGTCAACTTTATCTTTACTTATTTTCAAAATTATTATTGGAAAGTTGTGTTTGTAGCTGGAGGCGGAACATAAAGGGTGGAAACTGTTTCTAGAGGAACTCTCTCTGTGTGGGACATTCGGTGGAAGTAAAAACCAAGATGCTAGCAGCGTTAGCTTCCAGGCTTCCGTCGGTCAGAAGATGATTTTTCCTGAGTGAGCTGAAGGTTCAGTGTCTGCAGTAACAACATCATCATCATCCATCACAGACCGACTGACTGCTGGAGACCCGAACCGCCCAGAACCTCCCGGTATGTTCACTGCACGGTTCTGTCCGAACTGCACGGTACTGACCGAACTGCGCGATTCTGACCGAACTGCACGGTACTGACCGAACTGAGCGGATCTGTCCGAACTGCGCGATTCTGTCCGAACTGCACGGTTCTGACCGAACTGAGCGGTTCTGTCCAAACTGCACGGTACTGACCGAACTGAGCGGTTCTGTCCAAACTGCACGGTACTGACCGAACAGCGCGATTCTGACCGAACTGACACCGGAACACAGAATGTAGTCAGCTGAACATGCAGGACGTGTCCGTGTTGTTCACATCGATCAATGATCAGGAACAATGAAACCAATACAAAACTGATTAGAACAACGAGCATCTCACCTCCAGTGATTAGATATTTTGGACTTTGTCCTGTGGATGTGTTTGACGTGTTTAACTTCCTCCTGCTCTCCTCTGAACTCAGATGGATGTCTGGTCACCAGGCTGAGGTGAGGCTGAATGCTGAGGAGGGTTTGGTACATAACAGCTGCAGGAAGCTTCCTGAAAACAAGCTGACTAAAACATTCCCCTGGACTCTGACCTCCTATCTAACAACCAAGTCTGTTCAAACTTCAAACATTGATCATCTTGATGTGGTTGAACTCTGAACCCAGGAGACGTAAACGCTCTGTTGTAGATTTAGTGGAAAGAATGAAAAATCAAACTTGCAAAAGATGAGACAAGTCCAAGGAACAAAAATAAATCCCAACCAGAGACGAGATGAGGAGACGTAACAAGACAATCCAGCAAGTAGTGACCGATAATAAGGAGCTTAAATCCTGGGAAGGTTTTGATCTCGACAAAATACCAGGAGCCTCATGTGCAAAGCGTATGCACAAAAACATGTGGCGTCATATTGTCGAATAAAAATCAACATGATAGGATATAAAGCATGTCCTGTCATTTCTGGTCCACAGGGACCTGCCCACTTTGTGGACACTTTGTGGCTGCGCTGCGTCTGATAGACTGACATTAATGCCAAGAGAGATTTGAGCCTGACTTTAGTTTCCTTTCCTCTCAGAGGAAATAAAAACCCTTCACTGCCTCCCCAGGCTGGTTGAATCTGTGCTGCTGTTAAGTTCCTGATCATACCTTATAAGGCCAGAACATCCCAGACACTTCCTGTCAAACTAAAACATGAGCTTTGTTTACTTACTTTTAGTTGGTTTTTGGAGCCAAGTTCCTTTTCTTGAGAAAAGCAGCTGAAGAGGAGAAGCAGAAACTCTGAGTATAAAATATTCAAAGCATTTTACTGAGAATGTTAATTAATAAAATCTCTAGTTTCACCAGACTGGAAGGGGCAAAGAAGGAAAAATATTCTAAAATAATTCCATGGAGTTTATTTCCATTAAATGTTGCTATATATTGCATAACACATTACCTTCTGGTTTCATTCTAAATGTTAATATCTGTTTAATTTTTCTCCATTTATCTGTATTAACATGTGTTAACAGAAATAATACACAGTGTGTAACAATGATGGCCTCATAAAGCCTCTAGCGGGTCGGAACAACGACAAGTAATCAGTTACATCAGTTGCAATTTGAGGTTTTGTGCCTGAACTTTTACTTTCATTTGAATTTGTTTTGAATAAAGTTACTCAGATTTGAAATCATATCCATTAATGAGTAAAGATAAAACATTAGCCAACAGCAGAAAAAACAGCATTGATCTTTGGTTTGTATTCAGATCTCATGATGGATCAATGAAAAGACAGGAGTGAAGAAAATTAGCTCACATTCTGAGAAAAAGAAAAACTCGCTGAGTTTAATGCATCAGTTTAACTGTAAGTATGAGAAAGGCAGCAGCTTCATCATTCATTGTAAAATTGAATAATATTTTAAAAACAAATGGAAATGTCAGTTTTATCAGGTACTTGTGATTTGCACTGACTAAAACTGAAAACAGAAAATCAGGCGCTTAGTTTGGAGTTTGTTATTTAAAACTGTTAGATTGGAGGAACAAACAGCTGACATGAGATTTTGGAAATTAATGCCCCATTAAAAATACACGTATTTAGTGTTGTTTTTTTATTTTTACATTTGCTCTTTTAAATAAAAATACTTTGAGATCAACTATTCTCACATGGTTTGTGATGAGCATGGATTTGTGAATGCACACGATTCCTCTATTCAGAATAAACTGGGACGTTTAATCCGTTTGTGGAAAAGAGAAATTGTCTCATTTCCTCTAATATTCAATACTTTGTGATTACTCTACGCAAACCAAACATTAATCAATCATGTCAAAATGTGAATAATTAAAATTAAAGGGCATCAGATTTACATTGTGCTTTTCAGGACCTTCAAAGATGTTTTCCAATGAATAAATAACATCCAAACATGTCAGCGTTCATCTGTCGTACGAGCGAAGCTTCTTCATTCCATGAAACTGCTGACGTTCTGCTGTTCTTTCTTCCCCCAGCCGGGCTCACCTACACGTCTGATTCTGACTGGAAGGTTCTCGCTGATTCTGTCCTGGTGGAAGAGTGGATCTCTATGACCAGAGATGAAAGAGGAATCAGAACCACAGCAGATACCTGAGGCAAAAGAGGAACCAGAACCTCATTCAATCAAAGAAGAACCCATCGAACTATGGGTCTTTGAAAATGAAGGGCAGCTTTTAATGAAGCAGGAGACCAACAACTCTATGACTCCTGCAACTGATGATGAAATATTCCACAATGGAGCAGAACTGCAGCAGATGATGGAGACAAAAGAAGAACTGGACCCTGAACTAATTAAAGAAGAACAGGAAGAACCACAATCTATAGAGATTAAAGATCAGGAAGAACTAATACTGGTGAAGATTAAAGAAGAACAAGAAGAACCAGAACTTGTACAAATTAAAGAGGAACCAGAACTCAGGCCGATTAAAGTGGAACATGAGGATCTCTACAATGAACAGGATGAAAAGCAGCTTGTAGTGAAGCAGGAAATTGAAACATGTATAGTATTTCCTACCTATAAGCAACAAGATAACAGTGAACCAGAACCAAACAAGGACCAACTCCCCTTTGTGAACAACCCTGAAGATTGCCAACAACAGCTGGAAAGCAACCAGAAAGACTCAGGATCCAGTGGAGATAAAGATCTACAGCCAGAGAGGAAACTTCAGGACAATGAAAACCACCGGGACAATGTGGACAAATCAGAACCAAATGGTTTTAAAACTAATTTGATCTCATGTAAGGTATGCGGCAGAAGTTTTGGTAGATACAGGTACTTGGTATCTCACATGAGAATTCACACAAACAAGAAGCCATTTTTATGTCTGACTTGTGGGAAAGGTTTCATCAGGCAACCTGACCTGAAGGTTCACATGACACACCACACAGGTGAGAAGCCTTTCCAGTGTCTGACTTGTGGTAAAGCTTTTCCTAGGCAACCTGACCTAACTGTCCACGTTAGAACCCACACAGGTGAGAAGCCTTTCCAGTGTCTGGTTTGTGGTAAAGGATTCATCCAAAAAACCACCATGTTGTGTCACATGAGAACTCACACAGGTGAGAAACCTTTCCAATGTCTGGACTGTGGTAAAGGTTTTATCCAGAAAACTACCTTGAGGTATCACATGAGAACACACACAGGTGAGAAACCTTTTTCTTGTGAATTGTGTGATAAATCTTTCCGACAGAGAAGTGATTTGGCTTGTCACACAAAAACTCACACGGATGAGAAACCACATAGTTGTGAAAAGTGTGGCAAGTCTTTTAGAAAGCGTAGCGATTTAGCCAACCACACATTATCCCACACTGGGGAGATGCCTTTCCCCTGTCCTACTTGTGGAAAAGGTTTTAAACAACAATATAAATTGACAATGCACATGAAAGTTCACACGGGAGATAAACCATACAATTGCGAAGTATGTGATAAATCTTTCAGACAGCGTAGTGATTTGACTCGTCATCTAAAAACTCACAAGCGTGTGAAGTTGTCATCTTGTACAGTGTGTGGTAAATTACTAAGTGAGTTCAGTAGTATGCCTCGACACATGAAAACTCACACTGGGGAGAAGGCGTATCTCTGTGAAGTGTGTGATAAATCTTTCATACAGAAAAGTGATTTGGTTCGTCATATGCGAACACACAGGTGAGAAAGGGAATTATTGGCTGACAGATTATAACATTTCAGACATGGATTCTATTGCTCCCATTATAGCTCTGGTGTGTTCATACCAAACACATTAGGCATGACAAAAAAGTGTAGAAATGCTCCACTAGTCAGAAGTGAGAGAAGCTATTCGTCCAGTGGACTGAAGGTGAACGGATGAAACTCAACTCGGTTCAGATCTTCTTGCCGTGTTTCGCTTTAAACACAACAGTTTCTCTGAATCAAGGCTAAATACTAAATTATGTAGAGTTGTGTTTGATTAAGAGCAACTGAAATATTGATAAATGTTTCTGATGTATATTTGCTTTATTTTGATGACGGCATTTAACAAAATGTAGTTTATTGCTTGTTTCATAATTGGTTATTGTGTTTTTATCATGTAAAGCACTATAACCCTTCATATGCACTATTTCTGAAATCAAGATGAATTGATCATGTAAAGAGTCAATTGGGTGCCTATCTGTCTTTTCATGGACTTCCCCAACTTTGCGGTCTTGTTGAATTTATTGTATAAAACTGATTCTGGCTGAATTAACACAGTTTTCTCTCCTGAACTTCTGAACCGTTGTCTGATCATGAACTGTCCATATTCTTTCAATAAATTATCGGGAAAAGAATCAGCTTGCATCTTCCTTACTCCAACAAATATGCAGTTTTTATAACCTAACAGTTGACGACCACATGATGATGTCGGGTCCTGCGTTGTTTGATACATTAAAAATGGAAAATCTTATAACACAAATGAACAAGATCCAACATTAATAAGGTGGAAAACTGTTTTAGATTTATTAGGTGTTCTGACTACAGATGTGTTTTCTGATGTCAATTGTTTTCATAGAGAAGTTTAGACATGCAGTCATAATTCTGATATTGTTTCTGTGCTTTCTGTATTATGGGTCCATGTCTGTCCTCAGCAGCCCTGCAGTGAAATCTAAACGTCGAAGATGATCCGTCACGGATAGATGAGCTGCATCGCACCATTTGTTTCAGAGGAGCACTGCTAGTCCATTTCCTTTGCTTTTGCTACACGTCTAATGATTCTTCATCTATTCATATGATCAGAAACTTTTTTCAATTAGTACTAAAAGAAATTAGTAAAAAACCAACTTAAATGTTGTTCTGTATTTACAGTTCTGCTATAAGGTCAGAGTTTTGGACTTATAAAAATATTTGGTATAAAATTTCACAAAAGCAGGGACATGATGACCTGAGAGGCAGAACCAAATCTTATTGTTATGCATTATGGATGACAGTGTGGCATAACTGTGGTTTTTATCAATTTATTCACATGTTGAAATCAGTATTAAACTTGTGATAATTCAGCTTTCAGAAAATATTTTGAGTCAAAACAAGAAAAAACTGAAAATAGTTCGAGGCGGAAGTGAAAGCGCGGTGTTTATTTCTACAGTAAATCTTTTGCAGGCCATATGTCTGTGCGGTGGAGTGATGTTCTTCTCTGGTTCCACATATGTACGCATACTTGGTGTTGGGCTGCATAATTTATCAGCGTTGTATTAACTTTGTAATTGTAATAATTTTAGCATAAAACCGTTTTAAGTGTTGAGCCAGTGCCAACATGGAACACATTGGGACAGTTTTCAGCCCAGGCGGAACTTTACATGCTGTGGCGGACAATCTGCACGTGGCACATCCACCGGAAGTAAACAGTAAGGCGCTAGCGTTAGCTTTCAGTTTCTTTGTGCTATCATCGCTAACAGGATGGTTTTTGTTGTGTGAGCTGAATATTTTACTGGCTATAGTGACAAATATCTTCTATTCTTCTGCACAGAGAGCGAATATCTACCGCCGTCAAAGAAATATTCAACAACCTCGAGCTTTAGGAGGAAGAGATGATCGGCATCACATCGGGTATGCTAACAGTTCCGAAAGAACTAAAAGCACAATAAGATCAGAGAGCCATTTTTACATCTAAGCTTATTGTATCTGTTGGTAGAGGGGAGATAGATTTATATTTACTTCCTGAACCTTTTGCAGTGATCAGGCTGCTTTTCTGTGATACATTTCTTCGCCATGTTTTCCAGCTTAGACTTGAACCAAATCAGACAAAAGCAGGTAGAAATTTACTCCCTACAATAAAAAAAAAACATTTCGACGGACCCGGAACAAAAAGCTTGTGGTTGAAGGAAGCTAAATGCAGTGCAGTTTATTCCAGAAAAATTAAAGTCCATTTTACAGTAATCCTTGTCGTACTGTTCTTCATTCCAGGCTTTCTGCAGCATCACATCGGTTCCCACCTGACAGGTTCTGGCTGATCATCTGCTTGGAACAGAGAAGAAGAACTATTGTTGAGAAAATATCCCAAACACGGTAGAAATGAAGGAGGAACCAGAACCTGTGCAGGTCAAAGTGGAACATGAAGATTTGGAAATTGTGCAGGTCAAAGTGGAACAAGAAGATTTGGAAATTGTCCAGGTCAAAGTGGAACAAGAAGATTTGGAAATTGTCCAGGTCAAAGTGGAACATGAAGATCAATGCAGTGATCAAGATGAACAGCTTGCAGTGAAACAGGAGCCTGAAACATTTACAGTGACTCCCACTAATGAGCAAACAGGCAACAGTGAACCAGAATCAAGCAGAAATAAAGATCTGGAACCAGAGAAGAGACACCAGGACAACAGAAATCACACAGAAAATGTAGAACTGGAAGACAATGCACAACTAAAAAGGTGCAGAAACACCCTGTTGTCTTGTGACATATGTGGTAAATTGTTATCTTCATGTCAACAGCTGACTGTGCATATGAGAGCTCACCCAGGAGAGAAGCCTTTCTCATGTCTGACATGTGGAAAAGGCTTTAACTGGAAATCTTCCTTATCTATGCACTTGAGAACTCACACACGTGAGAAACGGTATGATTGTAAATTGTGTGACAAATCTTTCATACGAAGTAGTGATCTGACTTGTCACATGAGAACTCACACAGGTGAGAAGCCATATTCTTGTCAGTGGTGTGATAAATCTTTCAGACAGACTTGTGATTTGGCTCGTCATCTTCGAACTCACACTGGTGAGAAGCCTTATTCTTGTGAACTATGTGACAAATCTTTTAGACAACGCAGCAATTTGGCGCGTCACCTTAGGATTCACTCAAGTAACAACCCGTAATTCAGTTTCATTCAGTTTTTATTATGTCTGTAAACAACAAATGTCATCTCAAGCTGCTTTCCAGGACATATTTTTGTACAGAAATGTATAGTAAAATCAACTAATTTCATATAGATTAAAAATGACTTTTATACAATCCATTTCAATGATACTTATAAAGCTCTTAAAAATGCTTGGATGACTTTTCTGTTTCTTCATTCTCTGCTAATTAGCATCTACATGGAATTGGTGTGCGTATGTATACTTCCATAACTTTCACATTTATTCAGAATTTAACTTTCATCCATGTTGGCGATGTACAAATTGTGCACATTAAAGTAGTTGATACATAACATTGATTGATATTGGTTGTGTTATTATGTTTTGTTTTTTTTGTCTGTTCAGAATGATCTGACAATAATATTTGAGATTTCTTATTTTCCTCATAGACTGTCATTCTAAAATTTAACAGTAAAGATTGAAATAAAACAGTCAAAATGCAACCCACAGAAAACAACTGGATCCAAAACGATTCAAAGGGTCTGGGAGAAAAACAAAAGGTGGAGTTTGTAATAAGTGTGTTCTGCCATCAATCTCTGACAGAAGGAATGAAGGCGTTAGCAGCATTACCAGCTTTAGCAGCGTTAGCAGCTTTAGCAGCATTACCAGCTTTAGCAGCGTTAGCAGCTTTAGCAGCGTTAGCAGCTTTAGCAGCATTAGCAGCGTCAATGGAAGCAGCGTTAGCTTCCATTGACAAATATCCTCAGTTCATCAGAGATAATCCATCAAGACATAATCCCCAGGTTTGTTAACTGCCTGGTTTTGAATGAACTTCTACTGGGGTGTGGAAGTTAAATAAATGAAATTACTGGACTGTTCATGGATTGAACAGTCCAGTAATTTCTGGCCTGCTCTTCATTACCAGAACCGAACATGGAGAAACAACATTTATCTTACATGCTAAGCTAATCTGAAAATACTGAGTTGTGTTTATTTGCTTTCAGTTTTTATCATGTGAAGCACTTTGATTTACCTTCTTGTTGAAATATTCAATACAAATAAACTTTAGTTATTTTATTATTCTAATATTTTAGTGCTGCTGTGTATGATTTACAACATAAAGATGCTAGTCAAAAAATTAAAATATAAAAAATTATTTAAATCAGTAATTCCATTCAGAAAGTGAAACTTGTGTATAATATTCATTTGTTATCCACAGACTGACACACTTCAAATGTTTTTTTCTTTAATGTTGATGATTATCACTTACAACTAATAAAACCCCCAAATTCAGTATTTCAAAAAAATAGAATATTACTTAAGACCAAAACAAAAAAAGGATTTTTAGAAATGTTGGCCAACTGAGAAGTATGAACATGAACAGTAACAACATGTTCAGCTCTCAGTATTTAGTTGGGCTCCTTTTTCCCAGATTACTGCAGCAATGCGGCATGGCATGGAGTCCATCAGTCTGTGCCTCAGCTGAGAGCCCAGGTGGCTCTGATGGTGACCTAATGAGTTGTTGGGTCTGGTGCATCATATCTTCCTCTTCACAATGGCTCAGAGATTTTCTATAGAGTTTAGGTCAGGTGAGCTTGCTGGAACATGGATACTATGATCCTTAAACCAGGTACTATTGATTTGGCCCTGTGTGTGAGTTTGAAAAATAAACCTGCATCTCCATAAAGCAGGAATCAGGAAGTACTCTAAAACTTCCTGGTAGATGGCTGCGTTGACCTCTGATCTCAGAAAACACAGTGGACCAACACCAGCAGATGACCTGGCACCTCAAACCATCACTGGAAACTTTGACTGGACCTCCTCTCAACACTAAAAGAAACAAACATTTGAAATACATCTATTTGTATATAATCAATGAACATAATACACAAACTTTGGTTTTTGAATGGATTCACTGATTTAAATCAAGTTCTTTGTGAAACTCTTATTTTTGGAACAGAACTTGTAGTTTTCATGGAAACTCATCTAAATTACCTGTAAGCTAATTTGGCCTCATTTCCAACTTCTACAGAATCTGGAAACGAGAAGTTTTCTCAAAATTCACAGTTTTTCACTGAACCATTTTCATTTACTGTTCTTTCTCTACCTAACAACGTATATTTATGTCATTTATTTGCTTATATTTTAACATTTACCGCCCCCTGTGGCCACATGTTGAGTCATATTGAAATAAAGTTTATAAGAATCCGTCTCTAAGATAAATATGTCAGCCATGTTTATTTTACTGAGTTCATTCAGACTTTAAAATCATGTGGTTTATGGCGGGGGGCGGAACTCAGGGGCCAAAACTGTTTCTGGGGTAGATTTCACCGTGACACTTCCGGCGGAAGTCAATAACAAGGCGCGAACAGCTTCCAGACTCCCTTTGTTTACCGTCGGATAGAAGCTTTTTAGATGTTTGAGCTGAAATATTCAGTGTCTGCAGGAACAACATGTTTGGTTAGAGGGAAAAAAGCGTTTCTGCAGAAATATTAAAAACCAAATAGATCGAACCTCAGCTCGGTCTGCTGAGCCCAACTGGACCCGAACCGTCTCGGAACCGACCCGAACCGTCCTGGAACCGGCCCGAACCGGAACAGACCCCAACCGACCCGAACCGTCTCGGAACCGACCCTAACCGGAACAGACCCCAACCGACCCGAACCGTCCCGGAACCGGCCGGTAAGCTCAACGCGCTCATTCAGCTGCTCTGCGCACAGAAACGGTCCAAACGTTTCAGCTTCAGTTTGTTTATGATCATCTTTGAAACATAAATATTCTGCACTCATAAACCCGATTCTCTGAGTTCAAGGATCTTTTAATCACTTTGTTGATGAATAGAAGCTTCACTTGTAATTTTGTCCAGATTGTCAGTAAAAACACGTTTGTATTTTCTGATTTAGTTTTGATCACTGATCAGGTTCTAACTGTGATATTCACTGACAGCATCGATGGATCTTTAATGCTTTCTCAGTCTAAATTGGCTTTACTCAAAGAATCACCAGCCCTGTTGTCCTGTTGTTCTAATAATATCTGAGTTTATTATAACTGAGTATTGAAAACCTGTGAGAACATTTATCTTTATCCAGGGTTTCCCTCAGTGTATTATAAGCCTGGTGGGCCGCCAGGCTTTATTCCCCCCTGATGTCCCAATACCACCAGGCTGAGCATTGCTTGTTTTTATTTTATTATTTTTTTTTAATGTTTAAAAAGTTTTTTTAATACACAAATAACCCCAAGTGCCTTTCTTGCTCTGAGCATTTCACTAGCACAGCAGATGGTTTATAGTTGATACCAGTGAAGCTGAGAGGGTCGACCAATTAATGGGCTCAAAAGATGAAAACAGTAAAAATCAAAAACAGCCGAAAACGTAAGAGCAGACATCACAAACACTTCATACTCAACAACAGTTGAAGTAAACCAGTATCGGGTTATCTGATTGGCCAGCATCTGAAAACTTCAAAAAGAGAAAACTACATTTGAAAATTAGAGTCACAACATTAAAGTTGTTCTGCGGTTCTTCATTCCTCCAGGCTTTCCACTGCGTCATGTCGATCTGTGATGGTCCTGCTGATCAAATTCTCATAGCTGAAGAGAGAAACTCCACTGTTGACCAAAAGATGCCAAACGTTACAGAAATAAAGGAGGAACAGGGAGAACCAGGCCTACAGCAGGTGGCTGAGACGAAAGATGGACCACAACCCATCAAACAAGAGCATGTTGAACTGTGGACCTTTCAAGATGAAGAACAATTTTTACTCAAGCAGGAAACCAGATCCTCTCTGGTAACTCATGAAGAAAGAGTCCTCAATGTACCAAAGGTGGAAATAAAGGAGGAACTGGGACCTGCAGATCAAGGAGAATTAGAACCTTTCAGGATTAAAAAGGAACCAGAACTTGTCCAGGCACAAAATGACCCAGAACTGATGAATATAAAAGAGGATTTCTGCATTAATCAGGATAAAGATCAGCTCGTAGTGAAGCAGGAGTCTAACAGCATTTTGGTGACTTCTGATGACAGTGAAGCAGAACCGAACAAGAACCAACTCCTCTCTGCAAATGGCCTCAAAGCTGAGGCTCAACATCAGCAAGAAAGCAATCAGAAAGACTCGGGAAGCAACGATGCAGATCTGGAGCCAAAGTCTTGTGAATTAAGGGTCAAACATCACAGAAAGCATCAATACGTACCTGTGGACATGGAAAGCCACTCATATGAGCAGGCTTATTCTTGTAAGTTTTGTCATAAGTCTTTTAGACACAGCAGTAGCTTGACTCGTCACAGAATAATTCACAGGGGAGAGAAGCCTTATTCGTGTGACACATGTGACAAATCTTTTAGATACATTGGTAGCTTGACTCGTCACAAAAGAATCCATGTGGGAGAGAAGCTTCACTTCTGTGAGTTGTGTGATAAATCCTTCAGAAAACTCTGTGGTTTGATTTGTCACAGAAGAACTCACATGGGAGAGAGGCCTTATTCTTGTGATTTGTGTGGTAAATCTTTTCGACACGGCAGTAGTTTGACTCGTCACAAATTAATTCACAGAGGAGAGAAACCTTATTCTTGTGACACTTGTAAGAAATCCTTTAGATACTGCGGTAGCTTGACTCGTCACAGAATGAGTCACTGGGGAGAGAAGCTTTATTCTTGTGAGTTGTGTGCTCAACGTTTCATTACTAAAGCCAGCCTGAAAGATCACTACAAAACTCACACAGGAGATCAAATGTATCTCTGTGACTCTTGTGATCAATCTTTCATGACTGAGTCTGATCTGGTAGATCACAACAGCACTCATACAGATCAGAGGCCTTATTCTTGTGACACTTGTGATAAATCTTTTAGACACAGCAGTAGTTTGGCTCGCCACAGAAAAATTCACAAATCGTTCATGACTGAGACTGTTCTGAAAGATTATCATAATCTTTCAGAAACCCTCACAGATGAGAAGCTATATCAGTGTGACACTTGTGAGAAATTTTTCAAGACTGAGTCTAATCTGAAAGATCACTATGTTGCTCACACGGGTGAGAAACCTTATTCCTGTGACACTTGTAATAAATCCTTTAGACATTGCAGTAGTTTGGCTCGCCACAGAAGAATTCATGATGAAGACAAGCTCTTTTCTTGTGAAATTTGTTATAAATCTTTCATAACCAAGACTATTCTGAAAAATCATCATAAAATTCACATGAGAAAGAAACTTTGTCCTTGTGACATTTGTGATGAATCTTTCATGAGTGAGACAATTTTGTTAGATCATTATGCAACTCACATGATTGAGGCGTCTTGTTCTTGAGACACTGCAGTAGTTTGGCTCTAAATTCCCTACAAATGGTGTTCTCAGGTGTTTTACAGAGCAAACGTGTCTGATTTATAAAATAATCTTTTATCAAATTGATTCCATTCAGTCTTTGTTATAATCCAGTGCAGCCAAGTTGAGTTTCTATCAAAGGAAGTCCAGTTGAATTCATTGAGTAGATAAATTACTGCAGCAATCCCTCTTACTGAACATGTGTTTGACGAAAGTAAATGTTTCTTTTTGAAAGAAACTCCTACCATTGTCACCACCATATTTTATTTCGGCTCTTTTTTTAAAAGTTTTTGTTGGCTCTAGTGGTATGTGGTGAACTCACATACCACAACACCCCCAAATACACTCTTTTTTATACACCAGTAAACGTTCAAATGTCTGGTTGAAAGGGCAATAGCGACATATAGTTGTCTGGACATGAACACACATGGTGTCAGTTGACCTTTTTGGTTTTAATCAACGGAGCGGTGACAGAGTTACGGTGAAGCCATGGAGACTGTACATCTTGGTGCTGGATCCCAGTTGGTAGACCAGTCCTCCTCCTCTGTCCTTGGTTGTGGAAAACTCTCCTGAATGGTTTAAATCAAGGTTTTTCAAAGTATAGGACAGCCAGTTGCTCATCTATCTCCCTCTCCCTTTAATTTTTTTCATCCCATCTTATTTTTCTTTTACTGTTGGATTTTCTTCCTGATGCTGTTTTTTGTTTTATGTAATTATTTTTTGCTTATATTTTGGTAAAGGATCGACTTTTTGCAAAGTCCTCTATGAAAGAAGGTTTTGTTTTTTGCATTGTGTCAATGTATCGTTTCAAATGGACTATTAAACATTTCAAACGTCTCATATGATGAGTCCAATTAATGACATAAATGTTCCCTCACCTGGATACGGGTCACCAGGAGTGGACCCCCCTTTCCTCAGTAGGAGGGGCTAAAGGTGTGTGTGTGTGTGTGTGTGTGTGTGTGTGTGTGTGTGTGTGTGTGTGTGTGTGTGTGTGTGTGTGTGTGTGTGAGTGAGTGAGTGAGCTTTTCTCTATAATAGATTATACTTTTAAATGTTATTTATGAACGATGTAGAAGTACCATTTTATTCATATTATTAAGAGGTTAAACATGCCTTTGGATTCGTAAGAAAAACTTAGTTTCATAGAATTTGACAGTATTTCACAAATAGTTATTTGAGCAAATACTCAATTTTAATTAAATAAAGACTTTCTTGCCTGGAAAAACATCAGAATTACCTGCAAAGTTTTCAAACAAGGTTTTTTGATTACATCATTGTTTTGGTAACAGGACGTTAAAAATGCAGATATCTTTAATATAAAAACTTAATTAAAAAAGTTTTATGAAGTCTCCTGATAATGACCACTGTCCATTTTTAACTGTTATTTCCATATTACTATAATTATTCATTGTTTCTAAACTGTCGTTTCAGCCTGTTGTTCAACATTTATCTTTAGAATATTTGAAATAATTTGAATTAAATGAAAAACAATTGAAGGAGGGGGAGGAACTGAAGAGCAAAGCTCTGTTTCTAGAGGACATTTCAGTGTGAGACATCCGGCGGAAGTAAACAACAAGCAGCTAGCTTCGTTAGCTTCCAGACCTTCTGTTTATCATCGGTTAGAGACGCTTTTTGTTGCGCCAGCTGATTGGCTGCTGCTCCCTTCGCGGCAACAAAACCTTGTTTTCATCGTCAGAGAGAAACAAACCGAACAAACACCGAACATCAGCTCAGACTGCGGGAGAGGAGAACCGCTGCGGGAGAGGAGAACCGCTGCGGGAGAGGAGAACCGCTGCGGGAGAGGAGAACCGCTCCGGGAGAGGAGAACCGCTGCGGGAGAGGAGAACCGCTCCGGGAGAGGAGAACCGCTGCGGGAGGGGAGAACCGCTGCGGAGAGGAGAACCGCTGCGGGAGGGGAGAACCGCTGCGGGAGGGGAGAACCGCTGCGGGAGAGGAGAACCGCTGCGGGAGAGGAGAACCGCTCCGGGAGAGGAGAACCGCTGCGGGAGAGGAGAACCGCTCCGGGAGAGGAGAACCGCTGCGGGAGGGGAGACCGCTGCGGGAGGGGAGAACCGCTGCGGGAGAGGAGAACCGCTCCGGGAGAGGAGAACCGCTGCGGGAGGGGAGAACCGCTCCGGGAGAGGAGAACCGCTGCGGGAGAGGAGAACCGCTCCGGGAGAGGAGAACCGCTGCGGGAGAGGAACCGCTCCGGGAGAGGAGAACCGCTGCGGGAGAGGAGAACCGCTGCGGGAGAGGAGAACCGCTGCGGGAGAGGAGAACCCTGCAGGGTGAGCCGCTGAATGACCAGTTCATGTCTGTGCAAAATATGTGGTGGTATTTTCATGAGAAATGTGTCCTTGTATTGAGGTGGAAATTAATTTCTGAAAACAGATTTCCAGTTTGTGATATTTAGTCTGTATGGTGATATTTAGATATTACTGCTGTGGGTTTGTAATAAAATGAACTGGTGGGTTTCCACCATCAATGAATGTGGAACCCGAACTTCTGCCCGAATTTCAACTCCAATAATCACTTCATGGTCAAAGCAATGACCTTCAGTGCAGCTCATCCAATATTGATAATCATCCAAACTAAAGTCACCTTTCCACTGGATATTTTTTAAAATGCTCCAAAAAATTAATCATATCAGAAACAAATTATTTGTCTTATCTAATAGCTAATAAAGCAAATGGATTATGGATAAGGACTGAAAATACTAAAGAAATTGAAAGAAAACAGAACTGACACAAACTAAAGGAGAATGACTGGAATCAGCTCCGCCTCTGATTATAATTGATTTCCCTAAAAGTAATGCTGCTGCTTATGTCTTCTGGATTGGGATTCATAGATTATTACAGCTGAGAATAATCCTCCTAACAAGAGAAATGCATCCCATGCTGTTTAATGGTGGTCCAAGCATTGAACCCTGCAGAACCCCATAACTAACATTTTGCCAGGCGCTAAAGGCCAAAGACTCAAAGGAAACTGCATCCCATCTGGACAAGCTTTTGAGAGCCACATTTAAAACTCTGGAGTTCATTTTTCAGATCAAAACATCTAAAACGACATAATGGTGCAACTCTTCACTTGACCAAAACCAAACCGTTTTTCTTGAACCAGTTCAGTGCTGGTTTTACTTGTTCTGGCTTTGAACCAGTATAAGACCAAACAGAAAACTATTTGGTTCAGTTTTCTGAAACACAGTGGAGTTCATCCTATAATAGGTTGGTGGCTGGTTTGAACCCTACTCTATCCGTTTCCATCTTTGGACACTTCAGCCATCTTGCTTGCTGGTGGTGGTCAGTTGCGTGGCAGCTTTGCTTCTGTCAGATCGCCTTCAGGAACCTGTGGCTCCTGCCCAGTAACTTGCCACCATCAGGGTGTGAAATGGAGAGTGAAACGCTTTGGGATCGGCTGGACATGATACAAGCGAAGACCATTTCACACACACAAAAAAAAAACACAAAACATTAATCTCCTATTGTTCTTTATTTCTTCAGGCTTTCTGCAGCATCATGTCTGTTACTACATGGGAGGTTGATGCTGAGCAGCTTCTTGTAACTGAAAAGAAGACCTTAGTCATTGAGAAAAAGATAAACATTAGAGAAATAAAGGAACAGGAGGAAGCACAAACGCAGCAAGTGACCAAAATAAAAGAGGATCCAGAACTTCAATCAGTCAAAGAAGAACAGGTTGAACAATGTATCTTTCAGAATGAAGGGCAGGTTTTAGTGAAGCAAGAGACCAACACCACTATGGTGACACCTGGTGGCAATGAACCAGAACTGCAGCGGATGATAGAGACAAAAGAGGAACCAGAACCTGTAGAGATGAAGGAGGAGCAGGAGGAGCCAGACCCTGTGCAGATTAAGGAAGAACCACCAGAACGGGTTCAGATTAAAGAAGAACAGGAGGATATCTGCAGTGATCAAGATGAAGAACGGCTTGTCATGAAGCACGAAACCAAGACTTTTGTAATAACCTTAGCTTGTGAACAAAAAGACAGTAGTGAACCAGTACTAAACAAAGACCAGCTGCTCTCTGAATACCACGCTGAATATGAGGGCCAGGAAGATTCAGGATCCAGTAGAGATAAAGACCTGAGGACAGAGAAGAGACCACAGGACACCAGAAATCACAGAGACAATATGGACAATTCAGAACCAAAAACACAAAACACTAATTTGTCCTCTTGTGAAGTATGCGGTAAATACTTCACTAAGCGTAAGTACTTGACAGACCACGTGAGAACTCACACAGGGGAGAAGCCATATACTTGTAAATTTTGTGGTAAATCTTTTACTAACCACAGTAATCGAGCTAAACACCTGAGAACTCACACAGACAAGAAACCACATCCCTGCGAACTGTGTGATAAATCTTTCAGACAGCCTAATGAGTTGGCTCGTCACTTTAGAACTCACACTGGTGAGAAACCTTTCTCTTGTCTGACTTGTGGAAAAGATTTCACCCAACAGTCTAACTTGACGGTGCACTTGAGGTCTCACACAGGTGAGAAGCCATATTCATGTAACTTTTGTGATAGCACTTTCAGATATGGTGGTCAGTTGACTATTCATGTAAGAACCCACACAGGTGAGAAACCTTTCTCGTGTCTGACTTGTGGAAGAGGTTTCACCAAGCAAAGCGCCTTAACTGAGCATGTCAGAACCCATACAGGAGAGAAACCGTATCCCTGTAAGTTGTGTGATAAATCTTTTAGAAAAAGTAGTGCTTTGACTTATCACATGAGAACGCATACAAGTGAGAGGTCATAAATTATGAGATAGGCATTTTGTAGGAAGCAGTTATTTAGTTAAAAACTAATACATTGGTTGAAACAAGGAAGGAAGGGACAATTCAGCCCCTTTACTTTTTTGTAAAGTAAAACCATTTATATTAATAATTCATACAACAGGCCAAAAGATTTATTCTTGTGATGCCTTTACAGGAAGTTTGTCCATCTACTGGACAAATAAAAAATTAACTTTTTGCTAAATTTTGATGTGTTTGGACAAATATGTGCAATTTAGCATTATGAGGAGGTGGAAAACTGTTCATCCTCACTCAAGTTTCCAAAAATAACCTTCTTTAGCTGATGAGGTGAACACTAAAGCTAGAGATACTTTCCCTATGAGGCAGATAGATAGGAAAAAAACAAGATGCCATGAAAACTAATGCTACGACACTTATGTCTGAGAGAAACTTTAAATGGTCAGTAAAACATTACTGATGAAGTTCTGGTTGAGACGACTTTCACAGCTGCTCCATTCCTAGTGTTACAAATTAAAGAGAAATGTTCAATCAGATGCTAAATAGTGAAGCAACAAAAACATGTTGGAGAATAAATGAGTGTAGCTGCCTTCTGCTACATCACAAAAGAAAATGATCACAAAAATCATATTCAGCAAAATGACCAGATAGTAACTGTACAGGGCTGCTGCTCTCCATGGACCAAATCCTTGTTTACACTGTAAAAATGGATCCATGTTGGTTTTGAAACACAATTTATCTTAGTACAGAATGACCCTTTATTTGTCCCTCAGTTGTAACATTTGTTTGCATTGACAACAAATTGATTAATGAATTTGATCAGAGGTTTGTTGCCTTCCTGTCTCCTGTACATGGCAAAGATTTTTCAAATTAAAAAGACACATGTGATTTAAAAAATTATATTCCACATTTATTAAGAGAAAGCACATCTTCTTTAAAAATATCCAATAGTTATGATTCTACTCATCAAATATCTGAATAGTTTGTCATTTAAAGCACTGGAACCAGTTTGGTTTGTAATTTTTGGATTCTCCAGCTGTTCATTCGATTTTTTTTTTTATCTGACTCCTCATTACCTGGTTTTGTGATCTAACCGCAGATTTTAACATCTATAAATATTGAAAGCAACAGCCTAAGTGAAATGTTTTCACCTAAACATTCCTGTCTGCTGCACCGATTGCAGTTTTCTGGCCGATCACCGATTACTGTTTTGTTTGAAAAGCCAAACTTAACGATTCCGATACCATTTTTTTGTCTGAAATGTTGTTCAGTCTATCAGAAAAGTTGCTGAATTGGCAAAAAATGGGTGACTGTTGTTAACTGTAAATGTGCAGATGTGAGCTGGTCGGCCGGTCTGTCAGTCACAGCTCTCTCACGGGAGAAAAGAAAAGCACAGTGGTTGATTTTTAGACCTTTGCCGAGGTTGATAACACCGGTGGATGAGATCGACTGCACCTGTAAAAATCAGCCGATCTCCCAAAATTAAGGAAATCAGCACCAATGACTCGCCTGGCAGATAAATTGAATTGGATGTTTTATATTAAAAAACATTTACCTAATTATTAAAGTGAAGAGATGTCTTTCGTAACCCTGATATTGCTGTTCCATTTGCTGACGAAGATAAGATCAGGGGATAAGATGGGCTTCACATGTAAGTATCGGCCAATCCCCCAAAATTCAGGAAATCGGCACCCACAAATCAACTGGTCAATAAATCAATTGGCCAATAAATGTATCTTATATTATACATCTATATAATGTAAACAGCACTTCCAGAGACGCAATAAGTTTATATCAGGTGTGTGAATGATCTGATGATCGGACTGCTGATTGCATGGAGGCCTGGGCAAAACGATGTTTTTAAAGCAAAATATAGATATAATGTATCTATATGGAGAGTGTAAATAAAATTAAAACTAATATAATAAAAATGTTTTATTTTCATCCAAGGAATTTTATTTTTGTCATTAAGCTTTCTTTAAACAATTGTCACCTCCATGTACAAACTTGTTTAAATCACTGATTGTTGCAGAGTCTTTTATATACATTATTCCAATGAAGTGAATTCTGACTGGAAGACTCCTTTGCAGATGAAACATGGCAGCAGAGCCAACCTGTTATTTTTTGAAGTGTTGTTACTATTTGGCTGAACATTGAACACAGAAACAAAAGCATTAGTTTTAGCTTAGATTTATTAATTTGTGAAAATATTAACGAAACATATTGCACTGCAGTGACCAAAATATAATGTTGGAAATAAAGTTTAAAAAAATATCTGAATCTCGCGGAACTTGGAGGATATACATTTTTCTAGCGCAGACATCCGTGTGGGACTTCCGGCGGAAGTAACCAACGCAGCGTTAGCAGCGTTAGCTTCTGAGGGATTTTACTGTATTTTACCGATTTGACGGTTGTTGCCGCGTGAACTGATCATTTCAGTGTCTACAGTTAATATATGCGCTGCTCTTCGTTTTGTTCATTTTGTTCAATAAAGGTTTTTCAAAAAGTAGATGAAGACGACTTCCGGCAGAAGTAAAACAATGCGCTAACAACGTTAGCTCATAAGCTTCTTTGTGTTTGTCGTCGGTTAAAAAGCGATTTTTGCTTGGTTGGCTTAATATTTCAGTGTCTACAGTAAAATATCTTCGGTTAATGATCAGAGAGAATTGATCAGAGATCGACTAACTGCTGCTGCTGGAGAAATATTCATCAATATCGATCCTCAGCTCAGACTGCTGGATACAACTGGAAACTCCAAGTCATCTCGAACCTCCCGGTATGTTGACAGCAGCTTCTGAATAAAATAACTGAAATGCTGAGAATATTTTCAGGGGACTAGTTCTCACCGCGGAGGAAGGAGGACGTGTCTGTGTTAAGTTTACATCTCGATGGTTTGCTTTATTCGTCACCGTTTGTGTTTTTCTGGCTGTTTTGTTAGGAGTTATTGTGTTTTTTGGTGTTTTCGTGATGTGAAAGTACAGGTTTGAATCAGTAATGTCTGTAAAATTCGTGTCGATCTGCAGCTTCATTAGGACTTTATTCTGTGTTTCTAAACCGCGCAGTATTTGTTGCTACGCTTTATAATTTCTGTTAATAAAGCAAATAATATAAAAAAATAACCAGAGTAGATAAAGCGTACAGTTATGAAATTATTTTATGACATTAAAAGGCCTTAATTTCCTCATGCCATAAGATTACCAAGCTCCCATTTATCTTTCCATATTTATATTGATACTTTATTCGTGTTTATTATGTTGTTATTCGAGTCTTTCAACAGAATGTTGCTGATTATGCACGTTTTAAATTTACAGTTGAATGAAAAATAAAGTCTTTTTATGCCAGATGCTAAATTCAGATTTTCCACAGTGGGCTTTAGTAAATTGCACCAGAAGAATCCAGTGTTTATGAATTATGATCCTCCTCTGATGTCACTGTAGCTGTAAAATCAGACAGGTGTAAACATGGAGACTGACAAAAGATCTGTGTTTCAGGAGCTTTGTTGGTTTTAGTAAACCCAGTGGAGAAAACTAATTCTCCTATTTTAGCAGAAGAAAAAGATTTTCTGAGTTATACGGTAGGATTTAGGAAAAGACAGCAAAGCTTTACACAAAGACTCCTTAATTCAGCTTATTATACTTATTATAGGTAATCTATAATAAATATAATAAGCTAATTATTATAAATGACGTTTCTTGTCATTTATTTTTCTTTTAAATGTGACCAGCATTATATAGTTTGATTGAAGAAGGGATTACCTGAGGTGCAAAACATTATTTCTTTCAATTGTATTTTTGTCTTCATCTTTTTAAAACCCTGTAATTGGTGCATGAGTTTTGTCAATAATATCTTCCAATAACATAACGGTAACATAATTATTGTCTAAGAATAAGACAATTGCTCTGCAGAAAATGTTCACCAATGTTCATATTTTACTTTCTTCTTTTCCTTTTTTATATTTTCAGATCTATTGTTTGTCTAGATAGATTTAAAATACATTTTAAAAAACTGTTTCATAGTGAAGAGTTTAAGGATATTTATACCCTGAAATTTTTTACAGACTTCATCTGATGGGTTTTTACAGAAATGTCATTCATGTTCTGTTGTTCTTCCCTCAGGTTTTTCACGGCACCATGTCTCTTACTTCAGAGGCTCTGGTTGATGATCTTCTCATAAATAAAGAGAGACGAATAAAAGAGGAAGAGGAAGAGGAGGAACCAGAACCACGGCCAAAGAAAGCAGAAAAAATCCAGCTGTGGGTCGTTCAGGATGACGGACAGCTCATCTTGAAGCGGGAGACCAGCACCTCTACAGCAACTCGTGTTTATGAAGAAATGTGCCACAGTGAACCAGAACTGGAGCAGATGATGGAGACAAAGGAGGAACCAGAACCTGTAGAGATTAAAAAGGAACCAGAAGATCCAGAACCTGTGAGCATTAAGGAGGAAGAGGAGGAATGCAATCAGGTTAAATATCATCTTGTAGTGAAGGAAGAGCCTGAATCCTTTATGGTGACTCATACTAATGATCAAAATCACAACAGTGATCCAGAACTAAACAAGGACCAGGCTGAAGATGGAAGCGACCAGAACGACTCAGGATCCAGTAGAAACAACAATGTGGACAATTCAGAAATACAAGGGCAAAAATCAGATTTTCACCAGTGTAACATTTGTGGTAAACGTTTCACTAAGCCTTACTACTTAACTGCTCACTTGAAAACCCACATGAAGGATAAGCCGTATTGTAAAATATGTGACAAATATTTTACCAGGCGATCGTACTTGACGGTTCACATGAGGAACCACTCGGATGGACCTGTACAGAAACTCTTTCCTTGTGAGCTTTGTGAAAAGTCTTTCAAACGGAATAGTCATTTAGCTTCTCACCTCAGAACTCACACAGGTGAAAAGCAGCTGCCTTGTAATATGTGTGATAAATCTTTTACAAAGAGAAGTAATTTATTATCTCATCTCAGAACTCACACAGGTGAGCAGCCATATCATTGTGAACTTTGCGATAGATCTTTTAAACATGGTAGTAATTTATTGCGTCACCTCAGGACTCACACAGGGGAGAAGCCATACCTGTGTGAACTGTGTGACAGATCCTTCACACAGAAAGCCTGTTTAGACGATCACCTGAGAACTCACACCCGGGAGAGACCGTTTAGTTGCAGGTCCTGTGATAAATCTTTCATACATCATAGTGATCTGACCTGCCATATGAGAATTCACACAGGAGAGAAACCATATTCCTGTAAGCAGTGTGATCAAACTTTCAGATGGAGAAAAAGTTTAGTTCTTCACCTTAAAACTCATACAGATGCAACTGACAAAAACCCTTAGCTAGCTGCTGCTAAACACTCAGTACTTGCCAACTCTGCTAAAGGTGTCCACTCATGACTCCTCTGTTTGTTTGTGAAGGAATTAGCAGCTTTATAATAATGAATAATGTGAGGAAAAGTGAACAAATGGTGAATCTGATTGGAGCCATGTATATAGTATAAAATAATGTTAGAACAAAGTGATCTTTGATTCTTTTCCCAGTTGGAGCATTTCTGAGCAGTGACTGCTTTCAAAGCCTTAGAACCTGGTGCAGCTGGTATTTAGTCAAAGCTATGACAGTAGAGAACGTCACTGACTGGCTCCTGTAGATACACACTTCACCGCTTATCAAAGCTTGGAACAGCTTTTTTAAATAAATGTTAAAATCCCATTTCTTTATAATTGTGCTTTATTAATACAAACTGGAAAATAGATTTATTTTAGTTTTATTACAATATTTAGTGATTTTGCTGAAGCTGAATGTTTGTTTTCATGGTGTAAAGAATCCTGACCTGCCTTCCCTTTTCTTGCTTCATGTTTATTTGGGACCTGAAATTGAGCTGAATCTCTTTAACGAGTAAAAAGATTTGTGCCCAAATCTGTCTGCTTATTTTATTCACTTTTTTTCTTCCAATGAGGAAAAACTACAACAAAAGTTCTTACAAATATTTTTAAAATCAGCAATTTTTACTGCAAAAATGTACAAAAAGACCAAGACACACTGATTATAATTTATCTCTGCTTTATGTCTTTCCTTTGTTGCAGTGGTTGACCAGATTGTAACACAATTAATTTCACATATACATAAATATGTTATGGGTGTATACTTCTTCAATTATGGATTTTTTGCAGAATTTCAGAACCTCCTAATCCAGAGCAGTAATAAACATTCATTTTACATGACTGCAGTTTGTTAGATTATGGATATGCTAAAGTCATTCTTAAAGTTGTTTGAATCAATTGGCAAAAAATATGTTTATGTTTAGATCAAGACTCAGAAAAAATATTTGTAGTTGGAACCTGTGAATTGACACAGACAATGGATGATTTCAAGATGACTTCACTGAAACAAATATGTCATTTTACTCTGATTCTTTTGGAGACTTTAACATTTGTCTGGAGGCTGCAGATGAAAAATAGTCTTCTGGCTAATTGTGATCAAAATTTCATTAGATTAGAAATTGAAAGTGTCAAACAGGTTAAAGTAACGGTATCAGAAACAGAAGAAAAGATGGTTCTAAAACATCCAACTGATTTTTGACATGATAAGTGAGGTTTTAGTCTCATTGCATTTTTAAACGTATTTATTTTTAAAGCAGTAATGCACCGTTTATTTCTTTGACTACCTGCGACATGAAGAAGAAGAAGAACAGAAACTTTGCTGTGAGATTTCCAGGCATCCTAACCGACCTGGTTCTTAACAAACTGCTGATCCTCGCCAAATTCTTCATCCACTCTGTAAGTGGGGAATAGAAAACCGGACTTTTCAGCCTGTAAAAACCTTCTGATGGAAAACCACTTCAGAACCTTAAAACTGATCAAAAACAAACTTTTGGACGCTCATAACGACCTGACTTTATTTGAGAACTAAAGCCCTTTTGTCTTTTTCTGTTTTTTGTTCTGTAATCCCTCAGTTTAATGTCTGACTGATTTTATTGATTTTATTTATTTAACTTTTTTTTATTATTATTATTATTTTGTTATTATGTTTTAGTTATATGTGTGCCTTAAGCCTGTACAATTTGACTTCTCCATGTATGTATATGCCACATGATTTTGTATAATTAAGTAATTAATAATAATAAAAAAGTTCCAGGCATCCTTGTTACCTTTTATTATAAAGTGATTTTTGCTGTTTGCAGATGAATATTTCAGTATGTTCGGTTAATCATCAGAGAGCGACTCGCTGCTGCTGTTGGAGAAATATTAAAAACATTTTCCATGAGGAGGAAGAGATTTTCCACACAACAAACAAGCTCCTGTGTGAGGATGAATTGACACAGACGATGGATGATTTCAAGATGAATTCACTGAAACAAATATGTCATTTTACTCTGATTCTTTTGGAGACTTTAACGTTTGTCTGGAGGCTGCAGATAAAAAAAATAGTCTTCTGGCTAACTGGTGTTTTTACAGAAATGTAAATAATATGCACTGTCCCTGTAAAAAGTAAATCATTTAATTTTATGTAAGTAATACATCACATTAAATGATTGGCTTATGTCCAAAATAATATAAAAATAAATCATGGGATGGAAACCTAAACGTTTAGAGCTGGAGGCGGAACTCAAAGGATGTTAACTGTTTCTAGTGCAAAGCTACATGTGACACTTCCGGCGGAAGTAAACCAGAAGGCGCTAGCAGCGTTAGCTCCAGGATTCATCCTGAATATCTGGTTAAATGTTTTTGCTGAAACTCTCATTAATCTGAATGGATGAAACCAGATATTGTTGTGACGTCATTTGGAGGATCAGCTCAGACTGTCGGATATCAGCTGGAAAACCCAAATGATTTCGGAACCTCGCGGTACGTTCACTGCGCGGTTCTGAATGAACTGGGTCAGGGAACTAGTTGATACCGCGGAGGAAGGAGACATGTGTGTGATTTGGTTTTTTGGGGGTTTATTTTGGGCTGCAGCATCAGAAGATTTTGTGTTTGTGACTTTTGACCCTCCGGGTTTCATGACGTCACTGGTGGCTGAATGACGTGGAAACATGGAGGACAGACACAGATTCGTGTTTTTGACAACTTTAGTTCAGGTGTGGATTCTGAAGACTTTTCATCCTTTTCTGATAAAATGTGCAACCAGAAACTCCTGAGGCCTAAAATGATTGAGAAATATTTTGCCTGTGTTTACAATATGATGTTTAAAAGCTATTTTATACGTTACAGTAAAAAACATTAGTAAAATATGAATTCTTAAAGTTTTTCCAGATGATATTAATTTTAAACATTTGCCGTTAACATCCTGCTGTTCTTCCTTCAGGTCTTGCGCAGCATCATGTCTGTTACGACTTCAGATGTTCTGATGGATGATCAAAGACGGATAAAAGAGGAGCAGGGGGAACCAGAACCGCAGCCAATCAAAGCAGAACAAATTCAACTCTTTCAGGATGAAGAGCAGCTTTTAGTGAAACAGGAGAGCAGCGTCTCCACGGCGACTGCTGCTGATGAGGATCCAGAACTGGAGCAGAGGACGGAGACGAAGCAGGAACCAGAACCTGTAGAGATTAAAAAGGAACCAGAAGAACCAGAACCTGTGAGGATGAAAGAGGAAGAGGAGGATCATCTGACAGTGAAGCAGGAGCCTGAAATTGTGATGGTTTCTCCAAACATTGAGCAAACAGACAGGAACCAGCTCCTCTCTGGAATCCAGGCTGAAGATCAGAACCAAGGAAGCGACCAGAACGACTCAGGATCCAGTAGAGATAAAGATCTGCAGCCAGAGCAGAAACCTCACCGCTCCAGAAATCAGATGGACAATGCAGAACGAGAAAGACAAACGTCCTATTTGCCCCTGTGCAGTGTGTGTGGAAAACATTTCACTAAGCCTTACTACTTGACTGCTCACCTTAGAACTCACACTGGGGAGAAACCAAATCCTTGTAACACGTGTGATAAATCTTTTAGCACAAGAAGTAATTTAATACGTCACCTCAGAACACACACTGGTGAAAAACCTTTTCCATGTGACATGTGTGACAGATCTTTTAGCACGAGAAGTATTTTAACTTGTCACCAAAGAACTCACACAGATGAAAGACCATTTCATTGTGAGTTGTGTGATAAACTTTTCAGACGTAACAGTCATTTAGCTGATCACCTTAAAACTCACACAGGTGAGAAGCCACATCCCTGCAAACTGTGCGGCAAATCGTTCATACAGAAAGTTAATTTGGCTGATCACCTGAGAACTCACAGAGCCGAGAAACTGTTCAGCTGTGAATGTTGTCATAAACGTTTTGTACAGCATCGTGCTCTGGTCTGCCATATGAGAATTCATACAGGTGACAAACCGTATTCTTGTGAACTATGTGACAAATCTTTCAGATTGAGAAAAAGTCTAGTTTGTCACCTTAAAACTCACACAGGTGAGACTGGCAGAAAATTATAGCTGCTGCTAACAGTTGAAATGTTTCCCAGCTCCAGCAGAACCAGTAGGTCCAGAAAGCATCATATCTCCCATTAGTCTGCTTGCTAGTGAAGGAATTGGCTGTGATGTAATAATGTGAGGAATTGTGAACAAATGGTGGAGGCAAACTGAAGAGAACTCAGAACTAGTACTAATAAACTGCTGACTGCAGTTAATAAATGTACAAAAACTAATCAGGATGAATGTATTTCTACAATCAGATCAATGTTTACTCTGATGTCTATTTGATCTTTGATTCTTATCTGCAGTAATAGCTGGTCCCAAAGCCTTAAAAGTCCTGGTGTAACTAGTTATTCCTCTTCTTTCCTAACTTTTCACCAAACCAGGAAAGAAGAGCTCATCAACCCAGTTCTAAAATCCCTGTAACCCAAAAAAACAGACTTTAACATGTTGGTTTATAAATCACACGGTGGCTTCGCACCAAAATCCATAAATCACCTGTCGTCATATCAACCACTCAGGTTTCGGTTCAAGTTCCCAGAACCAAACAAAATTAACAAACTGACAGAAAACTGTAAAACTGAGTTCATTTAAATCAAATCTAAAAGTTTACATTTGCCTTTGATTTATAACTGGAACATAAGTAGATTTTATTTCAGTATTTAACACGACATGTTTGATCATTTGGATATTTGTTGCGTGTTTGTCGTGAACTCGTAATAGCTGAACCGCTGTGCCATGTTTGCTGTTTAAGTTTCCCAGGAGCTCGGCTCAGTGGGTCTGTGTGAAAACAAACATCTGAAAACCATTTCAACAGATGTTAACAATCTGCAGAAATAATCTGGGCATGAAAACTTCTGTCTCCCCAAAGCCTCTGCTGTGAATCCCCCAGTTTCAATGTACTAATATTTTCTGTTAGGCTGTACTGACCCTTGCAAAGCATAACTTAATAAATAAGAGCACATCGTTTTAGAAAACCTTTTAACGGTTGAATTAACCCCAAAGTAAGTGTGTGTGTGTGTGTGTGTGTGTGTGTGTGTGTGTGTGTGTGTGTGTGTGTGTGTGTGTGTGTGTGTGTGTGTGTGTGTGTGTGTGTGTCTCCTGTCTGTCTCTGTGTTTCCCTGCATCAGTGACCTGTCCAGGTGACCCCGCCTCTCGCCCAGGCAGCAGCTCCTCCAATAGGGAGAAGGTGTAAGAAAATGGATGGATTTTAATTGTTTATGTGTATTTCAGCTGTAGCTGATTCTATTGCCCTTAGGTGCCTTGTTTGGATATTAAATAAAGTTGCTGAATTTAATTACAGACTCCTCCAGTTTCCTCTGGAAACTTTATGAGTGATGTAATGTTTTTCAGAAATACCTCAGAACTACATTATCTATCTATCTATCTATCTATCTATCTATCTATCTATCTATCTATCTATCTATCTATCTATCTATCTATCTATCTATCTATCTATCTATCTATCTATCTATCTATAAAATAATTAAAATATAAATAGAAAAAATATTTTTATGTTGATTATAATTAAAAAAACAGAATATCAATAGTTGATAAAAACCCAAATGCTTATAGTCGGAGGCGGAACTCAAAGGATGTGAACTGTTTTGACTGCAACTCTCTGTGTGGGACTTCCGGCGGAAGTAAACAAGGACAAGCTAGTAGCGTTAGCTTCCAGGGTTCCATCTGTAAATGTTCGGCTGGAAAACGGTTTTTGCTGTGTGAGCTGGATATTTCAGTGGGAACATTGACGAAATCTTCGGTTCATCTTCAGAGAGAATTAATAAGACCAACTTCCGGAGAAAAAAATCAACAGCATCGACCCCAAATCAACTGGAAGACAGAAAATATGACCGAGGAACTAGTTAATGCCGCGGAGGAACCGGGACGTGTCCGCGTTATCAGCTCCATGGTTTGTTTTCCTCATCATTGTTTGTTTCCAACTGAATGGCTTTATTTATTTATTTAGTGGGTTTCATGGTGTGAAATACAAAACGAGTAAAATGTTTAAATTTGTATGATCTGTAGTTCAGCTTCGTTATGAATGTTTCACTGTGATGCAAGAGATAAACACTTTAATCTGTCAGATTATTAAGCAAATAACAAAAATATCTCAAGTCTCCATTCAACTAATGCAAATAATGTACTTAGAATTTCATTTCCTTTTGGGATAAATAAAGTATTTTTTATTTTTAATTTAATTTGAATTATTACAGTATTGTAATGGACTCAGAATAGAAAAAAATGGTCTTTGTTGTCGATTGAGATATTGTGATACTGTATTAGAAAAAACATCCTTTATGCTGGTCTCCTTCTAACGGCTGACAGTTTTATTAACCTTCCCTTTCACAGTGATTTTTCTCTGTTTCAGCAGCAACAGCAGCCTGAAGGAGCCCAGTTAGCCTCCAAGCTAACTGACAAAGAGGAGAAATGGGTCTCTTCCTAAAGCGGACAAAAAGGACATCACACTGGACATTTATTGGGCTCTGAACCGCTTCCAGCTCTTTCTGTAAGTAAACATGTGGTTCCAGGTCCTCAACCTGCCCACCTGCTACTTCCTGCTGGACTTTAAGTTTTCCAAATTAAAATTACAAATATTACATGAACATTTTGAGTAATTTAAACAAGTTTTGATATTTACAATTTGCTTAAATTGCAAACAAATTTGATTTCATATTTAAATGTATTTATATTGATGATTACTTAACCAACCATGGTAATAATTACAACCATCACTTTAAATGACAAACCTCACATTACTGTTTTCTCTTAATAAAAACATTTTACAGAAATGTAAATAATCTGTTCTGTTCTTCCTCTCAGCATCATGTCTGTCACTACATGGGAGGTTCTGGAGGACAGCTTTCTCATAACCAAAGAGAGAAACCTAACTGTTGATTACAATACTCCAAACATTGCACAGATAAAAGAGGAAGAGGAGGAACCAGAACCAAAACCAATCAAAGCAGAACTGGTTGACCTGAGGATCTCCCAGGATGAAGGGCAGGTTTTAGTGAAGCAGGAGACCAACAGCTTTATGGTGTCTCCTGCTGATGAGGAAATATTCCACTATGACCCAGAACTACAGCAAATGATGGAGACAAAGGAGGAACCAGAACCTGTACAAGTGAAGGAGGAACCAGAAGAACCAGAACCTGTGAAGATCAAAGAGGAGGAGGAGGATCAGGATGGAGGTCAGCTGGTGGAGAAGCAGGAAGTTGACACCTGTATGGTGACTCCTGCTGATGAGCTTAGGGACAACAGAGAACCAAACAAGGACCAACTTCTTTTTGAGAACAGCCTTAAAGTTGAAGACCAGCATCAGCAAGGAAGCAACCCGGGTGGAAACAACTCAAAACTAAAAGCAGCTAAACTAAATATACCATCCTGTGAAGTATGTGGCAAATGTTTCACTACATACAAGTACCTGACTGACCACATAAGAACTCACACAGGTGAGAAACCATATCCTTGTGAACTGTGTGATAAATGCTTTGCTGATTGTAGTGCCAGAGCCAAACATATGAAAACCCACACAGGTAAGAAGCCTTATCACTGTCAAGTGTGTGGAAAATCATTCAGCCACTGTAGTAACTTAGCCAGACATATGAGAACACACACAGGGGAGAAGCCATATTCTTGTGAAGCATGTGGTAAATCTTTTCGTCACTGTAATACAATGGCTCGACATATGAGAACCCACACAGGTGAAAAACCGTATACTTGTGAAGTGTGTGATAAATCTTTCGTACAGCCCAGTGATTTGACTCGTCACCTTAAAAGTCACACAGGTGAGAAGTCTTTCTCCTGTCTGACCTGTGGAAAAGGTTTCACAAGGCAATCCTCCTTGGCTGTGCACATGAGAACCCACACAGGGGAGAAGCCCTACTCTTGTAAAATGTGTGGAAAGTCTTTTAGATATAGCAGCCATTTGAGTCGTCATGAGAACTCACACAGATGAGAAGCTTTTCTCATGTTTGATTGGGGGAAAAGGTTTCAGGTACAAAAATACCTTTTCATTTTTCATACAGGTGAGAAGCTGTATTTACGTGCAGTTTTGGATGTAAATCACATGCTTTTCATCTCCTGCTGATAAACTGTAAAGAGATTATTTATGGATGTTGCTGTAAAAGTGTCATTTTCAGAGAGAATAATTTGCTTACATTGCTAACATCTATTATTTAGAAAGCATGACCTTTTCTGCTCTTATACTGACAGTTTTAAATCATATTTTTATAATGAGGATTGAATTCTCCCATACTCATTGGTTTTGTCCCTGATTAATGAAGTTGAAATATCATTGCATTAATCATATGTCTTGCTCTTAACTGGACTCAACGCTATTGATATTATGGTATTTTCTTAGTATTGATATTGAGTTTGAAGCTTTAATATCATGACAACCGTAGGGTTGCCATCTGTTTTGTGTGTCTGTATACTTAAATGTTTTAAATCATGTCCACATACTTTTATTTTGTATACAGAAACCATTGGTATTTAATGTATAACCTGCATCTGTTTCTGTATATTATAAACCTGTTTATTGTTGAACTTTTGACTCTCATTAATAAAGTCTTGACTTTTCTGCCTTTCTTTATATTTTCCTTTAAATCGGACTTGAAACAGTTATTTTAAAAAAATCATTACATGGTGAAGGGTGAGTTAGTATATCCCCACACATGGATGCAAATGTTTACATTATTAAACCGTTTTTCATAAATTAAAATGATTTGTGAAACTTCAAAATGCATAAAGAGCAAAACATTTTTTATTCTAACATCTATATTATTTTTTAAATTTGTGTTGTCCTGCTTATAATGCGTGGAATATTTAACATGTTGACTTTTTTTTACACTAATTGATTCTGTTTACTTATTTAAAATGTAATGCAGTATAGATTTGTTTTCCTTGATTGACCAAAGACTAACTCTTTATTATTTTCTTTGTAATTCACATTTGTCACATTTTTTACTGTTTTATGTCTTTACAGAAAACATTATTATAACATTCGGTTTTTATATGGAATAAACTTTCAGAAAACTGCAAAACTGATTTTCTTCAAATCACAGCGACAAAATCAGTTTGTTCGTTTCCTTTGGTTAATAATAAAAGGGAAATTGATTAATTTTAGTCTGGATTACAACTTTTCTTTACTTTAAAACCTTTATTGTGCCAAATTAATGTAAACATTGTTTTTTGCTTGTTTATTGTTATCTTTTATCACTTTGAACTTCCTTACTGCTGAAATACGCTGTAGGAACAAACACTGGCCGAGAGGTGGCAGTAATGAACCAACAGAGTGTTGACTGATCGTATTTGTTCCGTCTTTAAAGGTCATTTCCTGTTAGCCTCCGTGCTAACAGAGAAGCGCAGGGAACCCGTTTCCTTCTGGAGAGCAGCTCTTAACGGTCTCAGGCTGCTGGACATTTATTGGACGCTTTTCTGTTTTCTGAAGAATAAAAACAAGTTAATAAGGTGAGAGAATCATATTTAATCGGTTCTGACCGTAAATATTGACTGTTTACCGCAATGATCGCCTCCAACATGTTGAGAGGGAATCAGCGGCCAGAGTCAGATTATCTGGAGATTAAATAATCTGATGCATAAACACGAAAAATAAAGAGCAGATGCCTCGTAGAAACAATACGTCACGCCGCCACCATCTTGTGAGTGGCAACGTTTCTCCAGGTAGCAACACAAACTAGAACTACCGAACAATATACATGCCAATAATCAGAGTTAATCCGCAACAAAACAATGTCCCATATGGAATATAATATGTCTTTATTGTTATTTTATTTTTTTATTTTAAAGGAGCCTTGTTATGTTCATGTTTGGAAAAGTATTTTTGGTACTTATTTCTGTTTTACTGCTATATGTTTCACTAAAAGTTGTCAATATATTTCATTTTAAAGTTAGTGGGTGCAGCTGAGTTGGGATGAGCTCAATCGTCCAGATCTTATAATTTCTATGTCTAGTTTTGTTTTTCGATCTCATTACAGCGATGTCCTCTTTGTGTCCTCTTTATGTCCTCAGGTCTCCCTCAGCATCATGTCTGTCACTACATGGGAGGTTCTGGCTGATAATCTTCTAATAACGAAAGAGAGGAATTCAATTGTTGATCACAAGATTTCAAATCCTGTAGAAATAAAACAGGAACCGGGGGAAACAGATCCACAGCAGATCACTGAGACGAAACAGGAACCAGAACTTCTGTCAATGAAAGAAGAAGAGACTCAACTGAGGATCTTCCAGGATGATGGGCAGATTTTACCAAAGCAGGAGAACAACACTTCTATGGCGATTCCTGCTGATGAGGAAATATTCCATAATGAGCCAGAACTGGAGCAGATGATGGAGACAAAGGAGGAACCAGAACTTATCCAGATTAAAGAGGAGCAGGAGGATTTCTGCAGTGATCAGGATGGGAAGCAGATTGTACTAAAACAGGAACCTGTTGAGCTAAGGGACGGCAGTGAACCAGAACCAAACAAGAACCAGAACCTCTCTGGGATCCATCCTGAAGATGCGAACCGTCATGAACAAGGAAGCAACCAGGAAGACTCAGGATCCAGTAAAGATACAGATCTGGACATCAGAAATATCAGGGACAATCTGGACAGTTCAGAACTAGAACATCATAAAAATGTTCCTTCTTGTGAAATATGTGGCAAATCCTTCACAAGACGTAAATACTTGACGTCTCACATGCAAACTCATACAGGAGAGAAGCCATATTCCTGTAGGCTCTGTGACAAATCGTATAAGCGGAGTAGCGAGTTAGCACGTCACATAAAGGCTCACACAGGTGACAAACCCCACCCTTGTGAATTGTGCAGTAAATCTTTCAGACAGAGCAGTGAGTTGGTGGGTCACATGAGAACCCATACAGGTGAGAAGCTGCATGTGTGTAAGGTGTGTGGTAAATCTTTCAGTGGCAGCAGTAGCATGGCTCGGCACATGAGAACTCACACTGGAGAGAAACCCTTTGCTTGCAAAGTGTGTGGCAAGTCTTTTGCTTTTATTAGCCGTTTGAATGTTCACACAAGAATCCACACAGGAGAAAGACCATATTCTTGTGAAGTCTGTGGTAAGTCCTTCAGGAAAAACTGCCATTTAACTATTCATATGAGAACACACACAGGCGAGAAGCCATATTCCTGTGAAGTTTGTGGTAAATCGTTTAGTGAATGTAGCAGAGTGGACAGACATATGAGGAGTCATACACACGAGAAGCCGTATACTTGCACAGTTTGTGGTAACTCCTTCCGGTACGGCAGCAATTTGACTGAACACATGATAACTCATACGGGCGAAAAGCCCGACTCCTGTGAGGTGTGTGGTAAATCTTTTACTGAATGTGGTAGCATGGGCAGACATATGACAACTCACAAAGCAGAGGAGAGATAGTCAACACATGGCCATGTGCTTGTGAGACTGTCGTCGTTGTCATAGTTCATACACTGTGCAGTTTGACCCGGGCCTGAAAGGCCACATTGTAAAATGGTTGACACAGCATCAGTACATCCCTCCTGAAGTCTGAACATACCTGTAAACGTTTAACTCTGAGGTTTAATGCACATTTGAAAGCAAATGTAGTTTGTCGTAACATGACAGAGCAAAGATTGCAAAAGTGGAGCGAGATCAAGTTTGGAAGAGAGGAGCTCAGATATGCGTTTAACTTGGGGCTGAACTGGGACGGCAGGTTGGGGAATCACAATGGAGAACCAGAGGAGGTGCATTTCCTGGAACATCACAAATTAATTCATAATTAGCTTTTTATTGAAACGAGATGTAATTGGAAATAAAGGTGATTATTTATGGCTCTTATGTTTCATTGAGCTTTAATGTTTTTGTGATCTAAAATTTAAGGATTATTGTTCATTTTCAGTTATTTCCTGGCTCATGCTGTGACAATCTCTCATAAAATGTGTTGACCCATGCACAACAAAATATCTGCAGACTAAAGGAATAACATGTAGTATATGGACATATTAATATGTGGCTGGTTGGGATGAGAGGAGGAAGATGGATGAAGACCGGTACGTCTCTGCTCCCATTATGAAAGTCATTTTTTTTAGACCACCAATCCATGTTATACATTCATCAACATCCTTGACTCAGCAGTGGGAACATAAACACATTTACATATTGGGCACATCTCTCAAGACCACAACCAGAAGATCTGAGAGGTCTGGAAGTTAAAACAGCAGCAGATGTTTGATGGTGCTCAGCCCTTCAGTCCTTTCTGAACCTACAACAGTCTCTTAAAGTCTATTCTCAGTGAACTGCGAGATGCGCTCCGTCTTAAACAAATCGATCTTTGCTTCTTCTATTTTGAAGTTCCACACAGAAGAAGCTAAATAAAAGATATAATCGATCTCAAGAAGGTTTTATTATCTCGTGCTGTGGTGGTGCAGAGGCAAAGCATGACCCCCTATGGAGGCCTCAGCAGTCGCAGGTTCGATTCCCGGCCTGGTAATATTTGCTGCATGTCTTTCTTGTCAAATTACTTTCAAATAAAGGCCACTAAAGACAAACTACAGTCACAAGTTACCTATGTTAGTAGGTGTTTAATGTTATGTCTTTGTCTTTCTGTGCAAATTTTTGACATTTTTGTGTAAATTTGTTTAATTCTGCATAATTTTTTCTAAAGCCGTCTCAGTGCTGGCCTTTGGTAGAACAGTGGCTCAGTTGGTTCTCAGCTGCGTCAAACGCCCCGCCTGGTCTCTAACCAGTAGACTGGATCTATAACCAGTGGAATGGGTCTCTGACCAGTAGACTGGGTCTCTGACCAGTAGACTGGGTCTCTGACCAGTAGACTGGGTCTCTAACCAGTGGAATGGGTCTCTGACCAGTAGACTGGGTCTCTGACCAGTAGACTGGGTCTCTGACCAGTAGACTGGGTCTCTGACCAGTAGACTGGGTCTCTGACCAGTGGAATGGGTCTTTTCTGCTTTTTGGTGATGGCGTACTGCAAGACGGACGACTGTCAGACTGACTGGTGGGAAGTTTCTGTTTCTTCACTGACTAGAAAGAATTATGAATTATGAAGCATTTATATAAGTAACACAAATGTCAAAGAAACAAAAATGTTTTTATGTGAAAAGCAGCATCACTGGAGGAGCAGAGGTTCCTCCATCAGCCAATCTTCTGTCATCTGTAGGACTGCAGAAGGGTTGGATTTCTGTAAGGAGACAAATATGGATGAAACAATCAAAGTTGAACTTCTGCTATTTTATGTCACTTAGGAAAGAGGTTGCTGCTTTAAATGTGGAAATGAAGGGATTCTCTAATTTTCAGTCAGAAATGTCTAAGACAACCTTAAGGAGGTTTGTATCAGAAATGCAACAACGTTAACTCTTGAGTTCTGTCATCAGCATTTTTAATGTCTATGTTAATTTAAGAAGAAATAAATAATCCACATTTAGATAATTGGGTTACTGCAAAAACACAAATCCATCCTTTGACATTTGTCCCCAACCCCAAAACGATGTTGACTACAAAAGCAACTATTGAGGTAGTTTACTTAATTTAACACATATTTCTGTACACATGACAAAAATGTTTTGAATAACTAAATACATTAGTTTTGATATTTGTTCCATATGTAATATATTAAAATACAATTTCAAAAAGTTATTTATTGAGCTCCATTTGGTTTGCGTTTTATGCATTTTAGTTTTCTACAAGCAACAAGAATCCAGGTTTTAAATGACGATACACTCCTTTCCTAATGTCACTAACATTCAGTTCTGCAGTTACAGCCTTATCTAGAAATCAGAATATGTAATCAGATGAAGGCATTTAATGATTCAAAAATACATTTTGAAAAGAACCTTTATATAGGTATTGAATGTAGTTTTCAGTAATTCCACATTTTTATTTAAGTCTAATAATATTTTAAAATTAAATGTATTTTCTTTGATTGGAAACAGAAAATTATCACAACAAAAATGAAGGCTCAAAGGTTTTAATATCCAAAGGTTTACTATTGATAGAGTTACTGTTTAAATAACTTTTTAATAGTTTTCTCATGTATTAAATTTTGAACGTAAACAATTTCATCCGAATTGAGTATTTTTCAGTCAAACAGTGACCCCTGCTGGACATGAGGGGTATTAACGGTCCTCCCGCCCCACAAAGTTGAACCGGAAGTGATTCTCTATTAGCTTGCGTTTGCCTCGTTGCTAGCAGAGTTTCCCTCCGATGGCAAACAGAACCGTTAAAGATGCAAACAGCATCCACGGAACCAACCCGCAGTACCTGGTGGAGAAAATCATCCGGACCCGAATCTATGAGTCCAAATACTGGAAGGAGGAATGTTTCGGCCTGACCGGTCAGTGAGTTAGCATGTTAGCTCCCTGAAGGCTAACGAACGAGATTTCATTCAGCCCCTGCAGGGCAGCTTGACGGTGGCAGTTATAGTTAAAATACAGGTTTACATTTGGATATTTTTTATTAACGTTTTATGTAAAACAGTTGTTTTTAATTTAAGTTAATATGGCACTGAATCGCCTTTTCTGTTGGATGGAGGAGCCAGAAAGTCATTTAATAAAACTCTAAGTTTTATTAAAGTAAAGGTGGAAATGTCACATTTTTCTACTTGAAAGTTAAACTAATATTTACAGTAGGTACTGTATGTTATAAAAGGATGAAATGTGAACAGTTATATTTACTGTTTATTGCTTCTTCACTTGACGTCCAAAAGGTTCAGCAGATAGAAAATAATATTAAGTCAAGGACAAAACATAAAACACCAAGCAAGAAACTTTACATTGTAATAAATATCAGACCAAAATTTATTCTCTATTGAGGTGGAATTTTTCCTTTGGCTTTATGAAGTAAAATACAGTCAGAATGTCAGCAGTTTGTCCACAGAAATAAAACTTTGTGCGACATGGTTAGCTTTCCTTATTTAGTGAAGAGCAATTATTGCACTGATCACTAATTTATGGAATCAGTTAATTATCTTGATATTAAATAAACTAAACATGAACTAACAGCGTTTCTCGTTGTTGTTTTGCATCATGTTTATTTATTCTGCATATCAGCGATATTTTCATTGCTAAAGATATGATCAGCACTGAACCCAGTTTTTGTTTTTCTCTCCCACTTTGATGTTTCCTGGGTTCATCTCTGACTTCCTGTCTCGTCCCTCAGTCTCTCCTCCGGGAGTTTAAATAAATTCAGTTTGGTGTCTGTCTGTGCAGCGGAGCTGGTGGTGGACAAAGCCATGGAGCTGAAGTTTGTGGGAGGAGTTTATGGCGGGAACATCAAGCCGACTCCGTTCCTCTGCCTCACGCTGAAGATGCTCCAGATCCAGCCGGAGAAAGACATCATCGTGGAGTTCATCAAAAACGAGGATTTTAAGTGAGATTCCTCCAGGTTCCAGGGTTTCAAGAGAAGCTGCGGGTCGGACCCGCCGCGGGTTCATGACGCTCAGAGGAAATGTTTTCTTCTGTTTCCTCAGATACGTTCGTCTGCTGGGAGCCATGTATATGAGGCTGACCGGCACCGCCGTGGACTGCTACAAGTACCTGGAGCCGCTCTACAACGACTACAGGAAGATCAAGAGTCAGAACCGGAACGGAGGTGAGCTGGTGGAGATCCACTGGGACCGGAACCGACAGGAATTCTGGGAAAAGACGGGAAGTCCAAAAGATTCTTTAGATTGAAACCACATCTGGTTTCTTTTCCGTATGAATTATGTGAGTGATGTAACGTAGAGATTCACTGATCCGCCTTTTCACCGCTGATATCTGTGGATCAGAACCGGCCGACCTGACACTGAAAAACAGCTCAATTAACTTAAAACGTTTCTATTTTTAAACAGTCATAAATCCATTGAAATTGAAATCCATGAATATTTTGACCAGTTTGGTCAAACATGTAAAAAAACAACTTTAATTTGTTCAGTGGAGTTAAAATTATAACAGACAGTGTAAAATAAATAATAAAGAAAATGACACTGACAAAAACAATAAGTTGATTATCTTGGTCAAATGTAAAAAAACAAAAATAAACTTTGAGTCAAAGGATTCAGAAAGTATAATGTAAAATAAAGCATAGAAATAGATTGAATAGATCTGCCCTTGTGGACCATCATCAGCTGAACCTGTAACATCAGGACCAATACAGATATTAATATCTTATCAGATATTAATATCTGATAAGATAATATTATCTGATAATATTTATATTTATTTAGACATAAACACTTCCTGGTTTATGTCTGAATTTTTTGTAGCTGAAAAAGATTCAGATTCTGAAAACTTAAAATAATTTAGAAGAAAATATGAAGTGAAACTTTTTCTGAGTTTCTGCTGAGTTGAAGGATGTAAAACATTTATTAATAGAAGCTGGGAGTCTTTACTGGTTTTACTGGAGTGGTGCTGGGTTCATCCTCTGACCTGGAACCTGTGTGTGTGTGTGTGTGTGCGTGCATGTGTGCGTGCATGTGTGCGTGCATGTGTGTGTGTGTGTGTGTGTGTGTGTGTGTGTGTGTGTGTGTGTGTGTGTGTGTGTGTGTGTGTGTGTGTGTGTGTGTGTGTGTGTGTGTGTGTGTGCGTGCATGTGTGTGTGTGTGTGTGTGTGTGTGTGTGTGTGTGTGTGTGTGTGTTTTCCTCCTCCAGAGTTTGAGCTGATGCATGTTGACGAGTTCATCGATGAGCTGCTCCACGCAGAGAGAGTGTGTGACATCATCCTGCCGCGGCTTCAGGTCCGTCTGTTTGTTCAGCGTTTGGTCCGGTCTGGTCCGGTTTGGTTCCGTCCAAGTCGGTTCAGACAGGAAGTTCTTTCCAGGCGCTGGTTC